GGCTTTCCACTCCCATCAACAAAGGGAACAATTTTTGTATTTCATAACTTGAATATGCAAACAAGAATACAGTTCAAAAGATCTACGCCATTCAATATTCCCTTTGTGCATCTGACAACTTCCTTTATCTCTTCCAGCTGACAAAAGATGGTTATAATTTCATGAATTAGAAATACATATTTTTGTCTACAACGAGAGTAGAAAGGTTTCACTGCATAAAATTATGATATTGTTACATAATTTAAAATCACGAGTCACTGTGGTAGCTCAGGCACTTGTTTTTATTGGCTAAAATCTTAATCACTACAATCCTAGGCTACAGATAAGTATGGCTTTAATCAACTGAAACGTCATCATTACTGGTAAAAATCACACCCAACGAAAGATAGCCATCACAAACCTCTGTATCTCTAGTTAGAAATTATAAAACACAACCATTAACGCTGTTGTTATAATGATCAAACTGTTCAATTGTTTAAATTGATATTACATTTTTATTTCCATTAAAATAGAGTGAAGTGTTTTCTAATGGCACAATCATTCAATTGTTAACAGTTCTCCCTTTCTAATGTCCTGACACTAGCTCTTCTTTTTTATTCCAATAGGTTCTCATACACCCATTCTGAAAAACTGAAAATACATACAGTACACAGGCAATTAGATAAAATTTGACTAATGCTCTATCGACTTTTGGAGAACAGCTATATTTTCACAAATTTTGCTAGACTAAGCAGAATCTAACAATTTTCTTGGTCTTAAGAGGAATGTTCTGGCACACACTATCTGAGCTAAACCTGCTCATTCTTGAACGATTCAAATCTGGAACTTTCCTAGTCCAAACATGAGTGACAACTAAATATTCTGTCTAGCTAGGCAGAATCAGGCAAATGTCTCTCTTGGAGTAAATCACATGGCTCCTCCAACCATTTGAAATCCCTTAATTTTACTTAATGTTGCTAGGACGAGGCGCTTAAATTTTATTGATCGTTATTGTAAATGAGGCTTGGATTTATGCTTGGCAAGCTTAAGGTACTCTGCTATGTTGCACAATTTTAACAAATAGGTCACTTTTCAATGCCTTCAGCACTGAAAAATATCTTAAATCACCTTGTGGAAGAAACATAAAATTTCAATGATTCTGAAGTACTTGTAGGTGGTGTACTGCTGTTTATAAAAAAAAAACTAAAATAAAAAGTTGTTAAAAAATATTTTGTAATCTTATCATACAAAATAATTTCAACTTTTTCAACCTTCTTGTTAGAATTTAAATGTACGTGGTGACAAACTAAAATATATTTAACATGTAGCATATAAGACTACCAGTAAGTTAATTTGATATTTTAAAATTATATTTCCAAAATCAATTTTTTTCCTTCAAATGAATCAAGAAACCTTGTCCTACAAAAGAACAAGCTGACCAGTCTTCAGAAATTATTATTGCCAAGATTGGTAGTTTTTTTTTTTTTTTTGCAAAGGAGAATGTGACTCGCATGACAGGCTGACTGTCTGGGTTTCCCAGGCCATTAAATCCAGAACAGAACTCAAAACTCCAGGCAAGCTACAGCCAGCACATCAATGGAGCAGTTAGCTGGGAACAAAATCCAAGTAGTTAAGGCAAGCAGCACACTAAATCAAGACCCAAGACAAATGAGTTGCAATATAAGAACACTAAGGGATAAGAAGTAAACCTAATCCTGGATCAAAGAAAAAATATATCATTACTTATTGACAAACTATCTAACACTGAAGCACAAAGCTCTATATAAACTAAAACTGTAGGACATGCTGGCAAACTGTATTTGACCTTCAAGCTGAGGCTTTTCATGGAAATGCGATTTTGCTAACCATGTATTGAGGACAGCTAAGCAGCTTTTCTGAATGTCCACTGATAGTATTGATGGGTGACAATGTAAACAACTCATTTACAGTATCAGCGATGTTGATTACTTTAAACAACTCAGCAATATCAGCCAGTTTCCACCTGCACTGAAGACTTGGTAATTCTAATGATCTAAGGTACTTTCTATAAGTTACATCAAAATGATTAAGCCATAGGCAATTATCTTACTTAACGGCTCTCCTTTAGACATTCTATAGACACTTAACAGCCTAGAGACTATATTTTCTGACTTCCAAGAACGAGTTTTGATTTTTCAATACAACGTGTTATCTAATCGTTATTCTATATTGGTCGTTTCCGTAAGGGGGCTGTAATACCTCACTTGACTAGAGTGTTGACCAACTTAACCAAAGGAGAAGATCCAGGGTGTGTCCTTCAACACTCACTACCTTTTGGGGTTTGTATTTCTCAGGAAGCTAAAAAAAATGGACTGTTCTGTGCTGATGCGGTTTTGTCCTTTGGACTAGACACTGCTCTGGATGGCATATGCCTAGCCTCCAGTATGTTGTTCAGGGAGGTAGCCATCAGCAACTAACAGCAGTCTCCACCTCAATATGACCTTGGATGTTCCCAGGGCAATAAAGCCAAAAAACACAAACTTTTCTCAACTGATTTTAACTGTTTTTATCTTATCATGATTTCTTTTAAAATTTATACGAAAAATATCAACATGGAAATGAGTTTACCTTTAAAAAGGTGACTTTCATTTAAACGAAGTATCATTATCTCTGTTAGGTGATGCCATCAAAATCTTAAATATTTTAAAAGTTTGAACTTTAACAGGTGTTAATTACATCAAATACCACTGCACTAAAAAAACACTGTTCATAAATAAAACAATCACACAATTCACCAGATTTTCCTGAATCAGCCGGCAAAGTCTATCAGTGTATCTACATGATTTATTCATTATCATCCTTGTGGCTGACACTGACAATAACAGACCCATGTTACAGTAACTAACTATGAAACTCTACATTGATGTATAATACATTAGGTCTGACAGTTGATACGTTGGAAGGTTGGAAGTTTTAGTGTCCACAGTGACTAAACAGTCTGCAATTCAATTGCTTGTATGCTAAAACTAACAATATTCTTCTGCAAGTTGCTTACCCAAGAAATTTTATCAAAATTACATATCAAGAAAATCATCAATTCAAATTAAAATATAAGATGTAAGAAATCCTCTTTTGTGATGTAAAATGTTCAGTTTTTTGTCAAGATCATTAAGCAAAGTTTTAAACAGAGTCATTACATAATATATGAAGCTGGTATCCTGAAATCAATGGCCTTGATCTTCAGACTCACCTACAACCTATAAGATCACACATCACACAAGTACCTGTGTGATGGGTAGGGCTGTCTCAAGATCAAGTGGTTCTCTGATATATAACCTGTACAATACCATAAATAACAGGATAAGCACTACCAATCATGAATATCAATATTTACACAACCCTATTTTATACTAGGTACTGTACTTCTCTTAAAAACTGTGACTGTCAATTGATGAGTAGCTGTTAGTACCATTTGTAACCACAATTGATAAGGTCTGAATTGGAGAGATCAGGAATTTGTTTCTATCCAGTGCATGGGTTAGGAAAAAATAATCCTAAATAGTATTAGTCATTAATGGTTTACTTATGATAAAAAAACAGCATTCGCTTGAAAAATGGTGTTGTTCACTATACAACTACATGTTCACAACATTCAATGTTCAATAAATACTAAAAGTACAATATTGCGAGTATCAACTGGAATCTGAAAAAAACAAAAGTGTTGATGTATGCTTCGATGTAGTTTTTTCAATTAAAGATCTTTCAATGTATTCATCTATCTTTTTTGTTTGATTTCATAAATATCTAACACATGTCTATGACATCTCGGTTTGTTTTCTTTTCTTTCAGATAAGACTGTTAAACAATTTATTTTGTCAATATTTGATAAGCTACCTTTACCAAAGATCTGGGTTTTTTACTTGAATTCAACTGTTGTACATTTCAGAGCATTTTCTTCAGGTTGGTAATATCAATAACATAGAAGTTCTGACATCACAACCAGTAGAAAATTTAAGGGCAGCATTTTGATGACTATATAGTCCCCTTCATCTGACCAGTGTAAAGCATACTATCATTTGCATATTATCATCATTCCGTGTTCTTTTTCTCTAAAATCTTCTTACCATCTCATCACATTATTTTCTACCTTAAAGAACATTGTATTATAGTACAGTCTTTTACTGGTTGTGTTATAAGAACTTCTGTTTTATTAACTGTTGTATTGTTTACTTTATAGGTCTACCTAAACTAGTAATTTTCTGACAAGAAATTGATACAGTTCATTGGAAAATTTGTTGACTTTCTACAAATTGCTTAATAATGCTTACATAACAACCATCAATACAACTTAATTTGGTATCATTTGGAATTGCATATATTTTAGAAAATATCTGATTCAAAACATTATCATCTTTTATACTAGGTTTGAATTCATTGGACTATGTTCTTGTACAGTAGAACAGTACTTTAATAATTTCATATATTTGAGAATTGTTTGACTCAAAACATTAGAGTCTTTATAAACTGGTTCATGAATTAATTGTCCTTACTTTCTGTACAGCAGAGAAGTACTTTATTTAGCATTAATCAAACACATCTATCTCATTGTTGTATTAGTCATGGGTCAGTGACTTTGAAAACCCATTGATTCAGGCATTCTTTGTGTAGTATACTGTAAAAAAAACACTTAACTTTCATGTAATTGGTCCAAAGGTGAGATGCTAATTATAGTGCCTGTCAGTAGACAGGAAGCATAGGTACTAAGATTACATAAGACTTCTCACACCTAACTTTATATATAGGGACCTCTACAGTTCAGACAATTGATGCAGATGTCTCTAATTGCCAACAGTCAGTTGGCATTATTGGATTTCTTACTGCCTTTATAATCAGAAGGTTGGTGGCTATCTTTGTCAGACAACTTTTATTTAGAGGCACTTATTCAGCTTTTACCAATATTATCGGATTTCCATCAATACATTTAAGTTCAGAAGAGATGATATTTTAATTTCACCTGAAAGATTGAAAATTGTATGGCCTACCTGTCCGAAGAATCGCTCCATAAAGCCGCTACTATCCACATTAACAGCAACATCATCAGCTTCTTCATCGTCGCTTTGTGCCTGCATGTAGCAGAAAGTGATTCAAAATAATATACAAGATCAAGGTAAGACAAATTTATTAATTATACATCAGTTGAACCCACACAGATATGGTAAGTTTCCAACATCGTATCATTTATTTTAAATTTCCACAAAATCAGTATCCAAAATGTGTAAAAAGAGATCTCATGTTTTCCAATATAAGCGATCTTGAAATGAAAACCTTTTTTAAAGAGTTCAAAAGATCATTTTAAATATAATGCTGACTGATTGAATGATATACAGGTATGTGGGTAGTAGTAATACAACCTCAGCTGAAAACCTATGGTGTCTAGATCAAACCATCCTATATGGTGGTTTGTGTCTCGTCTTATTCTGATGTGATTGTATATTGGAGTATGACATTGTGCGCCAGTTACCTGGGATAGCATGCAACAGGACAGGCTTACTATATGTTATTCAATACATGTACTCAACTTGCACATTAAGACAATAAACACATGTTAACTTTATCAGATTAGTTAAAAATAGATGAATATTACAGGTAGTGGGTGTCACTTCCTTGTTCAGCTGTCAGCAAGATGTGAATGGTCCTTTAAACTTACACTGATTGTTAAATGCAACTTTCAATCTTTGCTTCCTTTAAAGGTAATTTTTCATGTGACAACAATAACAAAATGATATGTATGGAGATATACTTCTAATAAAGTTCCATTACATCAAGTATATGTATTACACTGAAGTAAAAATGAGGTTTCAGGAAAACATTAACATTTAAAAGTATCACTAATATGTGAAGAGCTAGATCATTCTTTAATGGGACACATTTTTTTCTTTTATTATGAATTATCATAGACCTGGACAAAGTAAGATGATTTTCCTTTATGCTTACATGTTTTGTTAGCAGCTATCACACAAGTGACAAATGACATACAAATACGAAAAATTAAAATCAGTCATGACTCATGACAAAAACAGGATTGAGCAATACTAGCAACAGATCAAATATAAGGATTGTTTGATGTGTACGAATAGACTGATGCTACCTGAAAAATAAAGGTTTTCTCAAACGGGAATTTTTTTTTTACATACGATTGGAAATTGATGTTACTGTTTAAATATCAGTCAAAAATAAACAATGTACAGAAATAGGAAATATTTATGACTAAAACGGTCCTACATGGTGTACGAACATCACAGCTCTTCTAATGAATACATAGACATGGTCTGATCATACCTAAGCCTGCTCCGTAAGCCTACCGGCAAATCAGTTTAATGGGTGGGGAAAAACAAATAAAAACAACAAGGATCAGGAAAAGATATGACTGTGTCCATTAAATCCATAAGCATTAAAATTCCAACGTGAAATCACTTAAACTCCGTTCCGATTTTTTTGGGATGCACATAGGGTCCAAATCTATCGTTCATCAGGAAGACATTGCCAGTTCACAGTTGATACAGATGCTGAGGATTTAGAAACCTACCGCCTTTAAAGCCGCTAGTCGGTCTTTGGTCATCTTGCATGGAAGGTTTTTAACCTAACTTGTCGCAGATGGTGTAAAACGGTAAAATAAACGTTCCAGGAGTCATATAAGCTTCATGAGTTGCGATAAAACATGTAAGATCAATACAATTTTAATATTGTCTACCATGAAACCATTACAACAGTTTTGCGCAGGTGCGATGTGGTGTTTCCTACTTCCGGTTTTCCGAGGTATAAATTATTCTTATCTAATAAAATAATCAATATTTTAACATTTTTGGAGTACTCAAATACGTCATTTACAAATCTGTTTAAATGTTTACTACGTCTGATTATATTCATAATAATTATGATAATATTGTTCTCTCTTTCGCGCCAAAAATAGCTTGAACTTCCACTTCCTGTCTTAGTAATCCACCATAGAGCGGTGTAATATCTATTGAAATTGGTAAGCTCAACATCCAAGAATATCATCGTAATCACTTTTTGTTTTTAGTATCTATGTTGTCAGTTTTGTGAATAGTGACATTGGGGACTAAATTTATCAAATTTTATTATAAAAAGACTTATAATTTGATAATTCTTAACATAATTCTGGCCACCCCCCTCTGGAAAGTCCCCAAAATTCTTTGTTGCGTAGTACAAGTACGTCGTCATCTTTCGATTGACTCTCTACATAACACTTTTGTCATAAATTTGTTAAGAGACGTTCGTTGTTATTTTGCTTTCATAAATGATATTACGACCATATTGATATGTATGATTTCTATTTATGTCGTAATCACCAGTATTCGAGAACCGGTTTATTTTGGTTTTTACTGGTTTCTGTTCAAACTCAATTTATAGTGTGTGTATTGAAACGTTATTGTGCAACAGACGACCAAGGGCTCTCGTTCAGCAATCCCATTTAGTAGTCATTTTGTGATATTTTGCCTAATAATTTTACTTTCATAAGCTCGACCACAAAATTTGGTAAGTTGTTTAAGTCAGTAGTGGCACTGCTTGCCCAAATATAACAATATTTTGAAAGCATGAGGTTATTTTTCAAAATATATATTATGTATTTTGATTTTTATATATTGTCTTTTGTGTTTATTGTTAGAGCATTGTATACGAGAATTTTTTTGTTCGTTTCAGGATACAAATGGCTTTACAAATTCCTTCATTCAAGGTGAGTATGAACACATAGACATCATCAATCTAAAACATACCAGAAACTGTCACACAATTTATACTACATTGATTAAGGCATTCAGCATCCAATTTATTTAGGAAGTGATCAATGTTTAGAAATTCACTCTGGAAGCAGAGACAATCTAAAATTATTAAGACCTTATATATATTCTTCTAATAATTTCATAGCTTATATATGACATAACAAATGCATCAGAAGCCAACAAAATATACCATAAAACAAAGCAGAAATTGTTTCTGAAACCAACATATATTTAAAAATTGGTATAAGCGGTTGATTGTGAACCTTGCCTTTAACCCAATTTTTGATGAACTTGCAGGAAGTTTACTAAATATGATTGGAATTGTTACATTACTTCATTTATTTTAGTAAACTGAACAAAATCATATATTTCATTTCAGTTGGTGCTTGTTGGCGATGGAGGTGTGGGAAAGACAACATTTGTAAAGAGACATCTGACAGGAGAATTTGAGAAGAAATATGTTGGTAGGAATTTTTGACTTATACTAACCAAAAAGTTTTGCAAATTGATTTCTGTTTTTCAGACAAGAAAGGGAAAAAGAGGTAATCACTGATAGTTTGACTGGTTACGGCACTCCAGTAAAAAAACATCTTCTTGACTACTGGACTCCAAAATAAATTGTATACTGGTTGTATTGCAAGAACTTATATTCCGTTGACATTACCAGTTTCAGAAAATAGTCTGAAATGGTTGTATGCAATTTTACCGCAGGGGGTTTATCAGGGTATTTTGGGAAACAGACCGTGGGGCAGAATTTGGAAAAATCATCAACCAAATGATTATTTTGGGAATTTTTGGAAATCAAAATAAAACCACTGAAAATACTTTGTTTTCTGTTTTATTAACTTCCTCTGAGTTATGCATACAAATTGAAAAGTTCTGTTTCAACCTTTCAGACTCTCTTGGTGGTTAAACATGATCAGCTTGTTTTTTTTTTTTTTTTTTTCATACAATTTTTTCGTTAATAAACTTGATGTATCGTTGATACATATGTCAATGTCATTGCGAGTCTGACTCTCACTGAGAGTCGTCAGTATCGTTGACGTTGGTACATGTGTTGATGTGAGCCTGTCTCTCACTCTGACAGTCATCAGTTACAGTAGGTTCGTTGTGAATCTCGCCTTATCAATTGGATGGAATTTTAAAAAGAACAAGTTGATCGGTTTTTGTATGTTTTGCGTCGGCTTTCCTCAGTTTTTTCACATAGTACCTACTGTTGTGCAACATGTTTCGTTTTGTGTGTGGGTTTTTTTCGATGTCGCGATCTATTAAGCGCTTGAGAATAATAGCCTCATTGCATCATAAGTAAAACATCTTGGTGACCATGATGACACATGTAATAAAAGAAAAGGCCTAGTTAACGATCAGCTCTCCGACTCTCAACACGGCGTTAGTTAAACACAATGTATTTTAGAAATTAAAAGAAGTCAAATTTGTTTTCTAGAAGTGCAAATTGGGAATTTTAGAGAAGCAAATTGGAGAAAATTGAACCTTTTCTTTTTCGATTGAGAATGGGTTGATTTAGCGGACCTAAAAATGGTGTTGATAAACCCCTGTACCGATTACAAGTGGTTACAGTGTATTAATAATTTAACTGGTATGCACAAAGTTCTTTCTGTGCATGGTCATGTCATTGTATCTATACAAATATGACAATAATATCGATTACCTTTTCTTGCTTATCGGTATATTTTGTAATGAATAGTTTGAGGAATTTTCTTTCTATAAATGCATCTTGGCCACCTTTCAGTCACCCTTTTGTCAATTCGACAAGTTGATATGAACTTCCCAAAGAAGTTTTTACTAATGATCAATCGTCACAATCATGAAAAGCCTTGATCCATTTACAACTGATAAATGATAATTGATGAATCATTATTTCTGGTCTTACTATACTTCATGAAAGCAAGTTCAACTTAAAATCTTTGAGCGGTACCCTAAAGAGAATCAAGGATCCTTTAGATGTTTTCTGGAAAATTCCTTAGATAAGGGAACAGACTTGACTGTTGAAATGTCGATATTTAAACTTAAAAAACCTTGACAAATCTCCAATAAATTTTTTTTTTCATTTGTTTAAAATTAAAAAAGATGTAGTGAAAATACAGTTAATTTGATTTTTAGCTACTCTTGGAGTGGAGGTGCACCCTCTCCGCTTTTGTACTACCAGAGGTGATATCAAATTCAATGTGTGGGACACTGCAGGACAGGAAAAGTATGGAGGACTCCGAGATGGATACTACATTCAAGGTATGTAGTATAATCCTTGTTTCTCATTGTTGATTAGTGTATCTAGGAGAGACAAATATGTTTGGTAGGCTTGATTTCTGGTTTAATTAACTTATAAACAGACATGTTGTATAATTTCAGATGACTTCAGTATTGTCAAAATTGATTCTACTGAGAAAATTAATTATTTACAGATACTTTCAGAGAGAGAAAAAGATGCCTCAAATTTCTGTAGTAATCTCCTACTGTGTCCATTGTTTTCATTCCTAACCCTGTATCAAAGTTTCAAAATATATTTGCCTGCTCCTTAGATACAGTGACTATTTGGGACTTGGATAGAGTGTTCTCCTTTGTCTTTTTGATGATGTAAAACATTTTGTGAATCAGATTTATATTAACGTAAAAATTTGTCAATGCAAATGTTTTAGAAAAATAAAAGCATAATGATATATCCTTAAATTTGATGAAAATATTGATGCCTTGGTGTGGTTTAAGTTGATTAAGTCTCCAGATTAAGCTTGTTGGATCATCATAAATTACTTTGAAATAAAGCTTTAAGTATCAATGTTTGAATTGATTTCTGAATCTATTCATTTTATTTATTTTCATACATTTTAGGTCAATGTGCAATCATTATGTTCGACGTGACCTCAAGAGTGACATACAAGAATGTACCCAACTGGCATCGAGACTTGGTGCGAGTGTGTGAAAGTATACCCATTGTGCTATGTGGCAACAAGGTGGACATTAAGGATAGAAAAGTGAAAGCAAAGTCGATCGTATTCCACAGGAAGAAAAATCTCCAGGTAAAAGGAGTATTGTTTTGAGATGAGAATGGACAATGATTTGGGAGTCCATCATTCTCATCAAAGGATCTAAATTGCATGAAGGGAAAAAAATCTTAAATCAAAGTTTTATTTACTGCTGATTGGAAGTTTATCATTCAACTTAAATGTTTAAAAAAAATACAATAAAATTAAAATTTTTAGAGAACAAATTGTGATAAGCTCTTTCAACTTCCTTCGATCATGTTTTTTTTCCACAATCGATTTAGGTATGAAGAACTGCATTGAAGTTGTAATTTCTTTATAATGTCAGCTTTAATGCTAAAGAATTTTTTTTCGATAATAAAACAGATTAAAATTGCCTGAAATCATGTAGACTTCGGTTTGTAGCAGATGATTAAATTTGATGGGCTTTGCTCCTAATTTATGTCATTTGTTTCTGTTTCCCAGTATTACGACATCAGTGCAAAAAGTAATTACAACTTTGAGAAGCCTTTCCTATGGCTGGGTAGAAAGTTGGTCGGAGATCCCAACCTGGAGTTTGCTGCTATGCCTGCCCTTGCTCCCCCAGAAATCCACATGGACCCTGGTCTGGCTAAACAATGTGAACAAGATCTAGAGGTATGGCATATAAAACAGAAGAAGATGATTTAAATGGGAAACAACTTAATTCCTTTGTGATTTTAATTACAAAAGAATAGGGGATGGGAGATGGAGGAGGCTACCAATTGTTTAAAATGTAATGTTATTCAGTTTCAATTTAATAGCTTGTAATACTTCAGGTCAGCAAAAGTATCTATATTACAAAGGTTTGGGATGAAAATTTGATAGTTTGTTACCTAAATTGTGGAAATGGTTTCATAGTCAACTTATTCATTTAAAAAAAAAAGAGAGAGAGAGAGAACATGTATTTATAGAAGTCTTCAACTACACAAATACAGTGAAACCTGCAGAGTTTAACGCCTTGGGACCATATTAGTTTTTCAAGGAATATGAGGATATCATGCAATCAGATATTCACTGTTGACTGGTAGCTGATTATCCATGAAGGTCCGGCATCTGTGAACAATGTATTCGATAATCATAAACATGGTAATTTATGATTTTGCTGAAGCTTTGACTGTCTTATTTTCATTTAATTTACAACAAAGTGCAGAAAGCATGTTGCAGAGAATGAAAGTAGATTGATGAATACTTCTGTGTTTTATTTATCACTAAAAGTTAGCACAAAATGTCAATATTATTTGTTTTACTCCAAAAAGAACTTCAAACAATACTTTATTTTTGTCGATGTATTTAAAATACAAATTTATATGAAGTGTTCCTATAAAACAAATAAAGCAGTATATCTTTAGTCATTTTTGTAAACACTTGGAAGTGATCTGAACTGGTTTGCTTTAGTTGGACCAAGTCATGTGTAACCCGGGTAAATTCTAACAAATGACACTTGCTCATCAATAGCAGGGAAGGGACAGGAATGAAATGGTGTTTAAGTAATAACAATTCAAGGAATCTTGCGTGATAATAATGAGAAATATATAAGGACATGTTCAAGACCTGGTAATCAGTTTGACAAATAGGGAGTTTTTATGAGGAAATGGAATTGTGTAAAAATTAATCAATTTTAATGACTGATTTAACTTAATCCTAAAAAAACTTGAACATGTAGTTTTCATGATTTGGTCAAACAGGATGCTGATAACAAATTCATTTTCATGTCTTTAATTTGATATGTTTACATTTTCAGGAAGCACAGCAGGTAGCTCTACCAGACGAAGATGATTCAGAGTTATAGACGTGCTGTAGTTTTGAAATTCGAAGAGGATGAACCTCTGCTATTCTCTCAACAAATCAAGATGGATTGTGTGTTAGCAAGAATGCATTTGTTCACAGCAGAAATACTTTAAAACATGTGAAAATACATTTAACAAGGGAGACCTGTGACATTTGAATGGTGGAGAGAATATTTGGCAAAGGTTTATACTTTTCGCTGGTGAATGCTGCAAAGACTGGAACTCTTGCGTCTCAAGCCATCATAAATGTTGTTAAATGAGAACAAAGGCAACATTTTGGCCTGTTAAATTTGTCGTAAGATTAGCACTATTGAATTTCGCGATGATGGCTGGCAACAGCTAATGCCATACTGAATATCGCAAAAAAATCTCTTTAGTATGGACATCTATTTATTGTTATACATATTCTGATTCCCTGTGATGTTTGCCTAGGATATCAGAACTGTTGTAACAGTCAAACACACCACATGACAAGATGATTGAATGATACTCCAGTTATTAACTTTATCATTTATGGAATTATATAGCAACAGAGCTGTAACATACTAAAATCCCCTGCTATAATTAAGATGAGAGCGAATAGACATATTTACACCGCTGTTCTTATTCAGGAGAAGTTAGCTTGTTTTAATTTTGTTTTTCCACAACAATCTCATGCAATATTAAATATTCTGCTGTGATGTTGTTTATGTGGATGATTAAAAGGCAAGTAAAATGATGTGGAGGAAAGTGAAATTCGGGAGGGGGGGAGGTAAGAAGAAAAAAAATCCATTGAACATTGCTGTATACGTATGGTAGAGGTATTATAGAAAGGGATCATATTGTTAATCACATGGCCAAAAATAAGCTGCTTGTTTTCAACTTATTTTATTCAAAATTCTGTACAAGAAAAAATATCTATGCTTTTTTTACTCTAGTGTCGGTGTAAAGTTCTAGCAGCTGCAATGCTTTAAATAAATAAGCTGTATTATGTTTAAATGTGGCCTTTGATATTAGCCATGTTTACTGAAAATGTTGAAGGGGAATATTGTTGAAATTAGAAACACTTAAAACAATGTTTTATGATTTAATGTGTACCAACACCAGATGCATCAAAATAGTTGTGGTCTGTTATTAATACTCTTTACAGTGAAACTTTCGTTTTTTGTTTGCGTGTCTATGAATTGTTTTCAAAATATTGGTTTGCCTGTTTTCTTATTGATGTCATGTGGGTGTAAATATGAAAAACAAGTCCTAGACATAGTAGAGGTAAAAGAAAAGTAATGTTGGAAATTTTAATTGTTTTTAAAAATTTCTTCATTTAGTTACAGATTAATGGAGGAAAAAAACACCAAATTTCGACTACAAAATTTAATGGATGAATGTTAGTAATGGTCTTTAAGTTATCAAGGTTATGCGATTTTTATTTTTTTTTTTTTTTTCATTTTTTTCTTCCTTGCAATTAACAGCACAAAAATTGTTTTATAGACCATCCTATTACAAATGAATATGATCTGTGATGCATGTTAGTGTTGACATCAACATCAATTGTCAATAAAAAGATTTACTAAAATGTTTGTAGTGTTTTTATGTTTTTCATGTGAGTTTTTGCATGTTATGCAATGATTTGTGTCCAAAATTTTACTCTTTAAAGTACTATGTAAATTTCAAATGTATTGATGTGCTGGATGTACCAATAACCTGAGAAGAATATGTTTAGGGTCTTGATATGATAGGAAACCAATGTGGTATGGCAGTTGACTTCATACCGGGAACTTTATGGCAAAGGTGTGATTATAATACTGTATCAATGGAATACCAGTCTGTTACAGCCAGGAGCAATTGGGGACAAAGATGAATTTTGGGCAAGGATGTTGAATCATTAATTCAAATATGTATTGTGATGAATTAGATCAGGAAAATTCAGAACACATTTTCTAAAAAATTCTTTGAAATCCTCTAACAATATTTTAAACTTGGATTGCCCCTGCTTGGATGAAGGATTATGTTTGCAAATGGTATCTAGATAAAATAAATTGGTCCCAAGACGAGATGTTTAGTGTGGAAATAACAAATGGGAGAAAGAGTTTTGGCTCGTGGTGTGCTAAAATGAATCCTTGAATGATTTTCACATGCTTTTAAGTGCACAAGGGCAGATGTGCTTAGATTTGTTGGAAGACAACATAGTCAGTAATAGGATTCAATAAAAAGTCTCCAATAAATGACAGTGATATACTTGAGGCTAATATTTTTAACATCTTTTGTTATTCTATGATGAAATCCGAATTAGTTGGTATAAATTATTCACATTGTGATTGAGAAGATTGGAATTATTTTCATTATTTTGAAAAACTTGAGTACATGGCAATACATACACTTGAGTACTGACTACTGATCAAAACAATGATGATAAGTAACAAATCCCTAGCAGCTGCTGTTCAATGTAGATATTACTGATGCAAGACTGAATCATTTCTTGACAGATTGCTTCTACAGAGTATAGCAAATTTAACTTGAAACTTCCATGTTAATAATTTTAGAATGAACCTCTCCTGTACAGTGATGTATTTCTAAACTAATCTTTTCTATTGCTTGCGTTGAAAAATATTGGTAGTCTGTTACTGCTAATTTGGATTCACAGTAACATTAAAAAAATATACCTGATACAACACAACTTTTTATCAATATATCATTTTCTGAATAATTAAGACTCGCTTTATAAAACATTAGTGCTACTTATTTAACAAGACGGTGGTACACATCTAGCTATATACTTTCATAAATTTGCATGGTACATGTATATTCTAGTGTACAAAATAATAACAAAGCAGAAAAGTTGACTGGAAGTTTATTTTGAAATCTGTTATTTCTTGGAACACTAAACAATTTACAAAAACACTTATACAAGTAGTTATCTATATCTTGTAACTTTTGATAACTGTATAGAAATTGTTTGCAGGCATACAAAACAGAGGGCGGTAAGAAGAAAAGGTTATTCAAGGTCTCTTTATAATTCAAATTTGCTTAGGACACATTCTGTAATTTTCCATGATATCAGCCATCAGTTATATACTTGGTGGAAATTTTCTCAATAATTTTCAGCTGGTTTCAGCCAGTTATGGCTGGTACAATTCTTATGGTATTGCACCATAGGCAACTTCATTCATCAAGCAAACTTTGATATAGAAGGCTGCTGTTTTCCTCAAGTAAGTCTGTTGTCGTACAATGAATGATAATTTACTGAGTGAATATATTTTTGTCACAGATATTTCCTTATTCTACTTTTAATTTCAGATAGTTAATACCACTCTGTACTTAATTTCATGGGAGAAGAGAGATAACTCTTACATACTGGGAGGATTTTTTTTTTTTTTTCCGATTTTATTATTATTTTTTTTTTATTTTATCTTTATTTGATTTAAAAATAAAATCCTTCCTCTTTCTAGGGATTACGGACATGGCAACTCCCACATTTAAGGTAAATATTATTTATATATATATAGATTAATTGATATGTACAGCTGATGGACATCTTAATTATGTATGACTATATTCCATTAATTAAATGAATAAACTTTATGATAATAAATTGAATCGGTTTTCATTGAAGTACAAAACGAATCAAGGCTGATATATATTGTCTTTAAAAGTCAATATCTGGAGTACAATTGAGGTATAATGTAATGTGTTGATAAAGACAGAATTTATGTTTAAAATTCCAGCTGATTGTAGTTGGTGATGGTGGCGTTGGAAAAACCACTTTTGTGAAACGTCATTTGACAGGCGAGTTTGAAAAGAAGTATATCGGTAAGTACATGAATTAATGATAAAATTATAATAATTCTATGGCACAAGTTTTTATGTGGTTTTCATGGTAATTATATTTTTTAAATGAGCTGTGTTTCTAATAGATTAAGTTTGTTACAAAAATTTAAAATTGCTGTATAATAGAACAACGCTCTGTATTCTGAATTTAAGTGTTTTAATGGTGTGTTAGTTTCAATAATCACATTGATGGATTTAAATCTGCTAGTTCAGGCTAGTTCATTAGATATTCCAGGCAACATTACCTTTAGCACCAAACAATAGGTATTCATATTTTGACTAACTGTTAAAATATGTGTCTGATATTTAATTTAGTGCTATCTTTAATGACTGCATGTATAGCAAAATGGAATCCACCACAAACTTTTCAAGCTATAAAGTATAACATGAACAAAATTGTCCTAGAGATATTATGAAAGATCATTACCTTTGAAAAAAAAAGTTTCAGGAGATTTGCTATTCTCAAAATATTTACACTGTGACTCCTGAAAAAGCACAAGGAGAGTAAGACCAAATGTTCCGGCAGTGTAAGTGTTATCAGCTTCATTGATGACACCAGCCATGTTTAATTTATCTTGGATATAAATCCTAGTCAATCGAAGTCAGTAATGTCATGTTCACAAATGAGAACAAGGTAAACAACAACCATCATACAATCTAACAAGCACACATCTGACTTTATATTTCACAAGGAGATACATTTTTCCCAAAGAGATCATTATAACAACTGTTTAAAAAAGATATAATAAAGACAAATAAAATCTAAACCATTTATGTAATTGAAGTATCAAGAAATATTGTTATGTGAAATCATAATTAATATATCGGACATTAAATATACCACAGCGACTGTATATTAAGTATTTATATCATCAAAATCATAGATAATTTAGAGAAAAAAAACCTGGTTTCAAGTCTTATCTGTTCAGTTCAAGGTTGTTGGAACTGATTTCAGTTCCTGCTCTGAGGAACTTATTTGTAAATGCCTAACCCCATATTCCTTGTTATACCTTGTAATATTATAGACTGTAAGACTGTCTACTTAAGCAGTGAACTTCCACATACCTGTGAGTTATGTTTATTGTAGCTACTGTTGGTGCAGAAGTTCATCCAATGAAATTCAACACAAATCGTGGAGAAATTAAGTTCAATGTGTGGGATACAGCAGGCCAGGAGAAATATGGACGCCTGAGGGATGGCTACTACATACAAGGTCTCACATGTTAAACATCTTGATCCACTATTTCTATCACAACATGAAGAGATGAAACCAACTTTATTATATTTAATGTTGTGAAAATTTACTTTATGACAAATATAATAGAATATTATTACATAGTTTTAAATTAGCTGGTGCAACAATTATAGAATCTATCACACTTATGGAGGTGGGAAAGGGGAATTGCAAACAGAGCAGAGAGAAATTTCTAAGTTTGAAAACTTGTGGGTCTGGGTATCTACATGTCCCTTAGAGTAGACATATCTGCCTACATCTTTAATATGATTCACCCAAACTTTTGTATTTTAAATGTGTACATACAGTTCTTTAGTCTTCATGAAGACTATACTCCAAGGAGAATGTATATTTTCTTGTACAAATATTTTAACAACCATTAATAAAGGTGTCTAACCCTTTAAATTTCAGGACAGTGTGCTATCATTATGTTCGACGTAACATCACGCATTACATACAGGAATGTACCAGACTGGTACAGAGACCTTTCTCGAGTCTGTGTTAATGTTCCCATGGTGCTATGTGGCAACAAGGTGGATGTGAAGGATCGCAAAATTCCAGCAAAGCTTATCAAGTTTCACAGAAAACATAACCTACAGGTCAGTGTGTAGTTATCTAAGAAGAAAAATTAAAAAAAAAAGAATAAAAAAACACCCTTTTGGCCATAAACTGGCAACCAACCAGAATTTTTGAGCAACCATGAACAGTTGACCAAAATTTTTTAATCTACGATAATGGTCTGTTTAACAGTACATATATAATAGAGTGCATTTACCTCCTGCACAATATAAACAAATTGTTTCTTGTACAGAAAGTAAATACATCATACATGTATATAAATTCCTTAAAAGACTGCTTAAACAGGCCATAATTGTAGGCTAAAAAAATTTGGTCATCTGTTCATGGTCACTAAAAAGTTTTGGTCAGTCACCTGTTTAGGGAAATATTTTCATTGGTAATATGAAAAAGTTGAACTCATGCATTTTTTATTGTACAAGATTCATAAAAAACAACCTTCCATAAAGTCTTTTATTATGTCATCAAAATCTCCTGTTTCCTCCAGTATTATGACATGAGTGCCAAGAGTAACTATAACTATGAGAAACCATTTTTGTGGCTGGCTCGACAACTTGTTGGTGATCCTCAGCTGTATTTTGTGGCCTGTTGTGCAGGCCTGTTACCACCATCAATAATCATGGACAAAGCTCAAATTGCTCAGATGGAGAAGGAATTGGAAGAGGTTTGTAGAAAATTACATTTCCTGTGTTGTTTATTTAAGTAGAACAGGTGATTTATAATAAAAAATTTACAGAAGTTTGTTGGCATTCAAACTCACTGCTATTTCTAGGCAGTTTATTAGGCACCCTAAGGGAGCACTTTGTCAATCTGTCGGTCATAATTTTGTCTGGAGCATGACATAAAAACTAAAGAGGTAACAACATAAAACTTCATAGGTAGATATATCACAACAAGGGAAAGTGCAGCACACCAGAACCATCACTCTCTTTAGCATAATTTAGTAGTTATTGCCCTTTGTTATTTTTCATACTTAAATTTTGTCTGGAGCATTGCACTAACACTATAAGAGGTATCAACATGAAACTTCATAAGTAGATAATTTCAATAAGGAGAAGTGCAGTACGTACTATCACTGTGTATTGCATCCTGAGGAGTTATTGTCGATGTTTGATCTTAACAGGAAGAAGGACATAAGAATCATACCTTTCTTACTGCCTTTTGTTTATTTTTTATACTTAAATTTTGTCTCATTCGAGGAGCATAACCCATCTCTGACAGCCCTTGTTGTCAGTTTTTGACATTCTTGACAAACCAGATATATACATATTGTAGAAATATAGCATCTCCTCTGTAAATTTCATATTCCCAAACTGCTACTATCACAATGTAAATGAGTTAAGCCTGTAAAGTTCAATTTGTAGTCATAGATGTTCTATTAAGTGATGTAAATTTTGATTTAGAAACAAAGGTAAAATCTTTAATTTTGTATAACTCTATATATTCAAACTTAAACTTTATTCCATTTGATCCCAAAACAATATTTTGTATTCTTATTGCTTTATATCTTTCAGGCCAAGAACGTCTCGCTTCCAGATGATGATGACGAGCTTTAAAATCCTCTCAACAATATCAATAATACATGATAAATGCATCATGGCTGGACATATATTTCAATTGGAAGTTTTCATGCATGTGTGTTGAAACTTACACAGAAAAATTAACAATTGGTCAGAAGAAAATTACATGTGATAAAAATCTGTGTTATTTGCAATTTTAATGGAAATTTATGTTTAAAGTTAGTAAAGCATTTTTTCATCTTTTAAACCTTAAATATCATTAACTGTGAAAATAAGATAAATGTGCAAATAACAGTTTATCTTCCATGTAAATCAAAAATCAAGCTGTGTTGTGTTTTACTTACTGCATTGTAATATATTATGGTGAGAAGAATTGTGTGATCAAAGACCTTGTTTTTAGGAATGTGTTACCTGCTGTATCTTCACTTCCTCATGTTAATTTGTATATACCTCTTACTGTATATAATTCATTGTCAAGTATTTCTTTACATATATATTGTAAATAACATGAAATTCAAATAACTTTTTACATTTCAAACTAATCTTATACATGTTGTTCAAACAAACATTTACCTGTATTCATTTCATAACATAGAAATAAAGTAATGGTGAAAATGAACATAAGAAACTTAAATTTGTTTAAAATACACGTAACTACATGTACATGTATTAATTATCATATAGAATGGTAACTAGATACCAAGAGATCATGATGACGATTTGCATTTTTTAGGAGAGTAAAAAAAAATTGGTACACAACACTTGATGGTGAAACTGTAATTAATTCATTCAAAGTATCTGATTTTTAAAAATGTTTTTAAATTGAAAATTTGAAATTTATATGATTTTTCATTCTTGAATTATTTATCAGGTCAAGGTAGGGTTTAGCATACACCACCATCAGCAATAAAAACAAAAGAAAGAGAGTACCGTGAAATTTCTTCAGTATGTCGGGCATAACAACAGTAAAGAACATTCAGGTCATAGGAACTGTATTCTGCTACAAGCATTGATTTTTGTGATTTTGGCTTAGTTATTTGAGTTCCTCCTCATTGGAGAAAAGAACATGTTTTTAACCTAACAGGCAAATGTCTATCAATCCATCTCTACATATAGTTCTGAATTCTGAATTCGTAACTTGGTCAAAACTTGACCACTTTCATCCATCAAACAAACATTAGAAAGATAAATCATTAAATGTCATGTATATGTCACTAAGATTTCTACAGCTCTTATAATATCAAAAAATTAAGATTTTTTTTCTCTGGAGTTCCAATCTTTGTTACTATAATAGTTGGAAATTCATGTTAATTCCCTGTGATAAGTACTATACTAAGCATCCCTTATTTGCCATTGGGATGTGAAATATCAGTTTTGCCTCATTTCAGAATCACAAAATACAAATCAAAATCGATTTTAAAAGGGAGAATTTAATAACAATTAAACGGGATACATGTATGCAGAAATATTCAGTTAAAATAACAAAGTTTTAAAACGTGACCTTCCTCTTCCTTCCTGTGTATTTTGTATCTGGACGTACTTCTCTGTAAAGATGTAAACAAAACAGTTATCATTAAATGAATACGATCTGACTTACTACTAACCCATAAAGGATTGATGATTCTGAAATTATGCATTTGACAGATTCATTTATGTTAACAAACGGGTATGTATATTAACTTTGTCAGACTTTCTCTGCGAAGTTCCTTGAAAAGTTGCATGAGTTCAAACAGTTGACTCTAACTACACATATGTATCTCAAAAGCAACAGAAAAAATATTGACATGTCAAAAGAACCATAATTATAATTAAGATTCATTGAAACAAGGGCAAAATATGAACAGTGGAAGATTAATGAAGTGAGAATTAAAATAAGTACAAGAAGAAAGAGACAATGTTGCAGAAGAGTAAACTTCCTTTTTATCAGTAATACCAGCCTTGTAAACATATGACAAGGGAAACAATTACACATCATCAAATACTACCTCTAAGCATGCTCAATGCCAGCAGTAAAAAGTCAATTCAAATACTGTAAAAGCATTTATCAATGATACCTCTCCATTTTTACATCAATATTAAAAGATGACCAACAGACTAAAGCTATGGTTTGGAAATAATGTTATCTCAACTCTCCATTACTTACCTCCCCTGTCTGCGGCGACGTTCTTTCTTCTCCAGGATCCAATCTCTGCTTCCCTTTGCAGATTTAGCACCTCGTATCTTCTTCATCCTCTCCCTATTGTATTGGAACGAAAGCTTAACAGCTGATTTTTGAAGTTCAGACTTCTATTATATTTCTTCTGATGTTAATAACTCTTTCAAAATATACTCTTTCAAGAACAATTTATCATTATTGGAATGTTATTGAAGTGTCAACAATAATTTTTGTTTTGAATATAACTATTTACAAAAGATCTATTTTCCCACTATAGCTCCATAACATTTTGTGTGCTAATTTGAATATCGATGAAACTCACGCCTATAAAAAACATTTATCATTCACTGACCCTACATTCCTGAGCCTATCCATAATTACTTTGATGATATTCAAGGAAGCACTATTTCAGTGATAATTCTTTCTCAATGTATATTTAGTATTAACTATTTATCATAAATCATTTTCTGACCAACTTGTCCTATTTTGTAGCAGAAACATATTTAATTTCTTTAAGGTGAAAAAGTTTGCTGCTGTTGGTATGCTGGCAGCTGTCCTAGTTGATAGAAATACATTTGTATGACATCACAAGTACTTTACCTTTTTGTGTTGAAGTCAATCTGTTGCCCCTGACTGTTTCCCACTTCTGTTCCTAATCCCTTAGGTAACTGTTGTGGTTGTCCTCCAGCAAACAAACACAGAAATATCCTACAATATACACAGGGAATGTCTTATCTACAGAAAAATTCCTTAAATATACAATATAAATAATCCATTTTAGTCTGGTAAAAAAACAAAAGAAACAGCAGTTTCATAATAAAACATTGCTTTCACAGTAAATCACAACTCACACAGTGAAACACGTCCGACACAGAAAATGACACCCAAACCACACACCACAGATAACCCTTTCTTACACAGTAATCAACATTCCGCACAGTAAACCTCATATCACCGTAAACCACACCACAAAAATTAAAGCACACTCTACACAGTAAACCAGACTCCATCAAAAAGTAACCCACACTTTATACAGTAAAATACAGCTCACACAGTAAGGCTAGAACTCAAACACTAAATCATATCTCACACATTAAACTATAGTTCACACAGTAAACCAAATCCCACACAGTAAATCACACCTGATACAGTAATCCACATAGTAAACTATACCTCACACAGTAACCGAAACCTCACAGTCAACATCTCAAACAGTAACCAACACCTCACGTAGTAATCCACACTCCACACAGTAAATCACAGATCACACAGTAAACTACACCTCACACAATAATCCACACTCCACACAGGAGTCACAACTTCACACAGTAAACCACAGATCACACAGTAAACTACAGATCACACTGTAAACTATACCTCACACAATAATCCACACTCCACACAGTAGTCACAACTTCACACAATAAACTACAGATCCCACAGTAAATTACACCTCACACAATAATCCATACTCCACACAGGAGCCACAACTTAACACAGTAAACTACAGATCCCACTGTAAACTACACCTCACACAATAATCCATACTCCACACAGGAGTCACAACTTCACACAGTAAACCACAGATCACACAGTAAACTACAGATCACACTGTAAACTATACCTCACACAATAATCCACACTCCACACAGTAGTCACAACTTCACACAATAAACTACAGATCCCACAGTAAATTACACCTCACACAATAATCCATACTCCACACAGGAGCCACAACTTAACACAGTAAACTACAGATCCCACTGTAAACTACACCTCACACAATAATCCATACTCCACACAGGAGTCACAACTTCACACAGTAAACCACAGATCACACAGTAAATCACAGATCACACAGTAAACTACACCTCACACAATAATCCATACTCCACACAGGAGCCACAACTTAACACAGTAAACTACATATCCCACTGTAAACTATACCTCACACAACAATCCACACTCCACACAGTAGTCACAACTTCACACAGTAAACCACAGATCCCACAGTAAATTACACCTCACACAATAATCCACGCTCCACACAGTAGTTGCAACTTCATACAGTAAATCACAGATCACACAGTAAACCACAGATCACAAACTACACCTCACACAATAATCCACACTCCACACAGTAGTCGCAACTTCACAAAGTAAACCACAGATCACAAACTACACCTCGCACAATAATCCACACTCCACATAGTAGTTGCAACTTCATACGGTAAATCACAGATCACACAGTAAACCACAGATCACAAACTACACCTCACACAATAATCCACACTCCACACAGTAGTCGCATCTTCACAAAGTAAACCACAGATCACACAGTAAACTACACCTCACATAATAATCCATACTCCACACAATAGCCACAACTTGACACAGTAAACCACAGATCACACAATAAACTACACCTCACACAATAATCCACACTCTACACAGTAGTCGCAACTTCACACAGTAAACCACAGATCACACAGTAAACCACACCGCACACAATAATCCACACTCCACACAGTAGTTGCAACTTCACAAAGTAAATCACAGATCACACAGTAAACCACAGATCACATAATAAACTACACCTCACACAATAATCCACACTCCACACAGTAGTCACAACTTCACACAGTAAACCACAGATCCCACAGTAAATTACACCTCACACAATAATCCACACTCCACACGGTAGTCACAACTTCACACAGTAAACCACAGATCACACAGTAAACTATACCTCACACAATAATCCATACCCCACACTGTAGTTGTAACTTCACACAGTAAACCATACCCATCATATAGCTGACCAAACATTAAGTTACACTTACTTTTTGGCCTTAGTACTGTTAGGATAGTCCACCACCAAACCGCCTGTAAAACCTGCCTTCATAGACTGTTGTGTAATCAGCTCCAACTGAAACAAAATTCTAGTTCTGTTACACAACTGTTTAGGTGGGTGAGGCTTCAATACCCACTAAATTCCAGAGTCAAACAATGGAGTGATTTCGTTTCTCCCTTCCAGAGAATTAACACTTTTGATCTATTAGGCAGAAAAAGTTTGATCAGAAGTGAAATGAATGAATTTCAGATTGTTTTTCTTACTTTAATGATCTTCTTAAATATTACACAGGAAACATAATTAGATAGCCCAAATAACAAAAATGTGATAATTAGTTTTATGGAGACATATAAAAATCATTAACCTGTGAACTGTTTTCAGGGTAAAGCTGGAACACAGCACGACTTCCTCTACTCTGGAAATGGAATGTTTGAATACATCAGTTTTATTTATTTAAATTTTAAAGGATTTAGGAGTGTTTTGTGAACTGTTGAAACACTTTCTTGTCATATCCTGACACCAGCATTTTTCATCATATGAATCACTGTTTTTTTTTAAACGTAAAAATGTCCAACATGAGAAACATAATTAACCCCAATTATTTGATGATTTTATTCAAAAAGAAATGGCCTTTTAATGTTAACATACCATACAGGCATAGAGTGAACTGAAGAACTTTAGAAGACGCTTTGGTGGATGATGAAAGGATTTGTCAGCATTACAAAGCCATTGCAGGGCAGATATACTGAAAAAAAGATAACAACACAATTGTTTAGAGAACATATATATTATTATGCCGACCAGTGTTCAAAGTAGATTGTACTTATACACTGACATTAAAACCAGAGGTAAATATAATTAATGTCAAACCTGTCTCAAAAGCCTCCTTTATACAAAGACCACCTGTTTATAAAGGCCACTTTTCTTTGCTCCCATTAGTGGCCTTTGTAGACAGGTTTGGCTATATATTTATTTTTGTCGTCAAACTGCCTTGTTCTGATCTCAAATACATCATGTTACCTGATGACGCCATCAAATGTCCCTGGTTTGAAGGGCATGCCGTATCCCATGTCTCCCAAAACAAGGTCTCCTTCAGTCTCTCTCTCTCTGGCAACATCTGAAATCAGTTATTCAACTATGAGAAAATAATAAAATCCAATCACTTTTCAAGATATTGAAGCAAATGCTTATAGAACAGGACACAATTCTTGTCATGTATTATGTGGTATGTATCAAAACTCCATTGTACACCAGGATTATGATTTTAACAAATCTAAGCACATTTCCATTTAAGTAATGTTGTAATTAAATGCTCTGAAATAAAAGCAAAATACAAGAGGCCCAATGCCTGCAACACTCACCTGCTATTCAATGTTCATCAAAAATACAATTTGTGTCTATCTCAAATACATTAACACATACACCACTGGCACTCAAAGTGGGCACATTTAATTAACTCTAACTAATTTCTGCAACAAACAGCTTCCAATATTTTAAACAGTATCAGTTATGACCTGGATTATATTTTCTTCTCAAGGCCTTGGACTAGACACATCTTTCCACCAAATACTTTACTTTTCAGACTTTTGGTTTACCAGAAGAAGTCTTTAACAGGTTCTGACAATTTGACTCCTGTGACCTTGAAAATGATTTATGATTCAAGGTCATTTCTTTCATGCAAACGTTGTCATGCTTGATCCAAGCCAAATTTCATGCTTCTTGGCTGTTGGTTAGTCAGAAGAAGTTGTTGAAAGGTTTCAACAAGTTCTGCTCTTATGCCTTGGATAAAGATAACAGTTCTTTTCACAAACTATGTTGGACTTCATCACTGAAACCTCTTAGTCAAATACCATAATTCTGTGCCTTTTGATTAGTCAAAAAAAGTGGTTTTAACGTTTAAATGAATTTGACCCCTGTGACCTCAAATAAGTGTCAAGGTCAGCTCTTTTTGAAAACTTTGTCTGACCACCAGCTAAATTCCATGACATCTGGTCAGTCAGATATTGAGAAAAAGTGATATTAACAGAAAAGTTGACATCAGAAAGACAAGGAACAGATGGACGGAAGAAGCTGCACCATGGCATAAACTCACTTGGACCTTTAGGTCAGTTGAGCTAAAATTGTAATTAAGCAAAGATGTTTTTGAGCTGCACTTTGGGAAAGAGGAGGGGCCAGAATGCCCCCATGTTTCCTGTATAGAATTTTCTTTCCTGTGTCATATATCAGATCATGATATTGGTATGTAGGAGTTTGTAACCATATCATATGCTGCAAGATTACACTTAAATTTCAATTTTTCATGTATTGAGGTTTCTTTTTACATCACTTTAAACACATAAACAAAAAAACTAAGATCAAAATTTTGAATTTGATACCCTATGGGTATGAAAGAAAAAAATTGTGTACTTACCCAACATGTGAGGGCTGATGTCCACTCCAACCCAGAAATGACCTTGCTCTGTTAATGTCTCTCCACTTAACCCAGAGCCACATCTACAACAAGCCAAAATCCTTAATAAAAACTCTGCTGAATTGAATCTCGAAGGGTAATTTGATAAAAACCGAACAAAAACTAATTAGAAGGGTAATTTGATAAAAACCGAACAATAATTAATTAGTGTATTATCACAATGCAACCTTTGACCTTAGTCATGTGACTATATAGCTTCTTCTTTGACAGTTAAATTTGGTATTTAGTTTAAACACTTAAAATTGATCCATTAAACAAACAAAAAACACTTACCCTACATCCAAAATAAAACATGGCTGATCCGCTGGTAACTGTAGTAACTCTATAGCTCTTTCTGACAGTTGGCTCTGAATTTCTATCATACGAGTACTGGAGGAGAAAACAAATAATCCAATGAAAAGTGGAAGTATTGATACCTGGCATGACCTCATATACTCAAGGGTGGTCTCTCTGTTACTAGCCAAGATGTAACTGTGACAATGATGATTTTGTGGATAAATCTTGCTCACAAAAGTGCTTTAAGGTATTTGTACATTTATCTGTGTATCATTTTGTAGACATTTAAATTAATGGATTTAGAATATCCAACAATTCAATGAAAATAAATGATTTTGAACTAAACAATAATTACAATATAAAGGTTGTTATTTTAAAGAAGATCAATTTTTTGCTGTTTTCAAGGATGGAATGGAAACAGAAATCTTGAAATATAATCAATAATAAAGAAGAAAAGAGTTAATTTCATGACTTCCTAGAAAAAGTGCATCTCTTCCTTATCAAACCTTTGTTAAAACAGGGGAAAAATTCATGTAACAACTCACTTAATTATGTGGGGACTATTTTACCTACAATACTAAATATGTAACACAAAAAATCATCACCATTTTTTTTCTAACTTGAAGCTGAGTATGAATACATCACTAACAAAATACTACATACTCATGTTAAACTACACATTACCTCAAGCAGCAACAGGGCAGCAACATTGCCTTATTGCTAAACAGCTACATCCTAAAACCATTATGATATCAGTTGTGTACAAATTATTGATGAAGTCAAAACGACGTTTTGAGTTTCAAATGTACCACAGTTTTAATAGATCACATACATTTCTCTATTACTTCAGTATATGACATTGACATTCATTAAGGTTTTTAAAAAACTTACTTTGAGGTGTATTTTCTAGCCTCTTCTTCACCATAAAACTAAATTGAAAAACACAATATAACACTGAGTTACTATTGATATTCACATTACAAAGAACTAGATATGTAACAGCAATACAAATGACTGCCAGCAACCAAGAAGTTTCAAAATTTTCAGTGCTTGCTGACTTTGTTAAGAGGTGTTTTGACTATAACCAAATCAGAACCATTATACAACTATGTATACACAAACTCTTTATCTGTCAAATAAGCATAAATTATGGGTAACATCATATATGCCCTGACCATGACAGGGGTATAAATATCTACATGTGAGCTTGTTTGGTCATAACTCAGTAATAGACAAGAATATATATGGAATGACTTTTCATACCCTGTCTCATTTTTCCTGTAAAATCATAAAAGCAGAAGATGTACACTAACATAGTGATGAAGGTGGTGTGTGGTTCTATGATGGTGGTGGTAGTGTGGTGGTAGAAAAGGAACAGACAGTGGTGGTGGAGGTAGTCTCTAAGGGTGGTGAAGTTATTTTCTAGAGGTGGTGGTGTGTTGGTGGTGAAGCTAGGTAGTGCGTGGTGATGTGATGGTGTGTGATGGTGATGTGGTTGAGCAGAGTGTAGTGGTGTGATGTGGTGGGGATGGTGGGTAGTGGGGTGGCAGTGAAATCAATTAGTTTGATATGTGTGGTGTGTGATAGTGGTGAAGTTGAGGAGGGTATTGTAGTTGTGATGGTAGGTAGTTGGGTGGCAGTTAAGCTGGGTAGTTTGTTGTGATGGTGGTGTGTGATTATGATGTGGTTGAGAAGGGTTTGTTGTAGTGATGGTAGGAAGTGGTTTGGCGGTGAAGCCAGATATTTTGATGTGTGGTGTGGTTGAGGAGGGTGTTGTGGTGATGATGATGGTGTGGTGTGGCAGTGAAGCCAGATAGTGTGTGATGGTAGAGTCAGGAAAGTAATGGTGTGCGATGGTGGTGGTGTGTGACGTTGGTAGTGGTGCGTGATGGCTATCTTTGTGATGTTGGTGATGGTGGCTGGAAGTGCTTTGGGTTTCGGTGAATGTGTTATGAACCAAATGATACACAGACAGAAATCAAAATGCGATTAATTCTTACTCTTTATAAAATTCGTATGTTTAATTCACAAATCTAATGAGCGTGTGCAAGACTGCAACTTTTAACTTACGATTTCAGGAGGGGCCTGACGTTCGGGCCTTCCAGAAGACGAGTGGGCCATTATTATTATAACCAAAGTCAGTATCAGTACGAGAAGACGTATTGGCTTGGTCAAGATCTAATCATTATTGTTTCCACTCCGTCAACATGATTGCTGTCAATACACGTGCCAGTGCCAAAGCAAACAACCGGAAGTACTTTCCATAAGTCTCTATCAATAAAAAGTTTGTATTCTAAGAAGTGTCTTATCTTATAGCGACAAGGAGTATCAAGATACAAACAAAATATTTAAAGATATACCTCGCAATTTTTTTTTACGAAATATTGCTTATCCACGAAATAAAATACACATAGTTTGTTATTTTTTCCCGTATAAGCATTTTTTCATTAACACTATGTTGTGAATTAACCCCGAGTTGTGAAATAAACACAATCACATGCTTCTAGCAGATACGTACATTACGTGTTATAAAGTCCCTATTTCCAGTCTTAGTGGAATATTGATAAAAAAATAAACTTTGTTTATATAAGTTTAGCAAACAACTATTTAGTAAATAAACTAATTTTACATTAACGCATCTCTTAAACCAGAAGCGAGTGACTGCGGCAAAACTTACTACTTTTTCATGAGTCTCTATGTATTTTTACTTGTGTTCATATTTTACCATAATTTCACTAATTTGCGTTTGAACTATGATTCTGTTTTTTCTGTTTTATTTAGTGTTAGTAACGTCTAGTCATTACATACTGACTGATCAAAACTATGAGACATCAGAATGCGTTAGTATACAAGCGTCTGCACGACAACGATCATCAGCGCGACCGAGTAGAGTACAAGGTGAAAACTTGTTACGTATTATTTTCGTGTGTTTTCGAACGAACAGTATTACCACTATTTGAACGCCGATGAAAGCTAGGAGGAGAACACTGGACCTAAATATTAACTAAGAGAACTGCTGAATGAAGTGACATTAGCAACACAGCAATGCAAAATGGCTAAGTAAACCGATTTATAAATGATCTGACATTGCCAAAACAGACAGGTCGTCGATTCGAAAAGCTGAAGAGACATTAACAAATGCATAGTTATTTAAGAACTTTAAGAGGCCAAATGTGTTTTTGCGCCAAGCAGCCATTCCCTAATACATATAGGCCATTAATTTTCATACCTGGAAAAAACGTTGTAAATAAAAGATATCAAGGATCACACAGAAAGCTCAAACATAAAAAAGACCTTTATGAAGTTTTGGAATTGTCAAGTAAAGCAACAAGCGTACAAATCAAAGGTGCATACTTCAGACTGTCGAAGAAATATCACCCGGACGTCAATAAAAATGAAAATGCAGTTGCGAAATTTGCTGAAATAGCAGAAGCATATGAAATTTTGGGGAAACCACACTCCAGAAGACTTTATGATAAAGGGTTGGAACAAGAAGATGAACTCGGAAATACTAAACACCCAGATGGTTGGAAGGCATATAGAAAAGGCTTCAAAAAATACGATGGCCCTCCTGTACGTGGCAGAACATCAATCTATGACTTTGATACATGGACAAAGTCAGTAATATTCTTCTTCTCTATTTTGTCCAATACAGTTTGCTGATAGACACGTAAAGCTTTAAAAACCTATAATAGCTGTGTCAGTCTGTCTGGAATAGCCTAATGTAAAATTATACAAAAAAAATCACAGTTATGAAAAACAAAAGAAAATGTTGAATTCCATGTATTCTATAGTCTATTATCACAGGAACTCTGTTAATGTGATTTTGTTTACTTTAATCAAATCGAAAACTTTCAAAAATATCTAATTATTTCAGATTGATCAATACAGATTTTATAGGTTTTATAGTTGGATTGACAAATGATATTGGCCCTAAACCCAAAGTGTTAATTGTTATATTAATCCGGTAGTAAGATGGCAAGATTTTTTTGTGTTTGGATATTAAGAATTTCTTTTCTTGAAGTTTTAATGAAACAATTTCAGCCAGGTAAGTGATATAGGTCCTATTGTTATTTATTTACAATCCTCAGGAAATTTGGATAAAACGCTGAAAATGTGATATATATGCAATGTGCTTTTTGTACTGCAATACAATACATTATTATTGTGTTTTGCAGGGCACAATTATATTGTTATACACAATTAAGTAATTACATATTGGCAACTATAAAGAGGAACTCTGCTGTCTGCAGTCAAGATATAAACTGATGCTTGACTTCCTCTTGTCTGATTTATATTTCACCTAAAATGCATTTGAAGCTGTCATACTTACATGTCAGTGTATTCCATTTTGGCAAGTGAGCAAATGTCTCTTGATAATTCATTTTCCTTGTTTTGACTTCCATACTGCTAAATTCAGCTTAGTCTTTGTACATATAATGCCAATATTTAAAATTTTTATGGCAATCCCATGGGGTAGCCCTACTGATGTCTTTTGTGTATCACCAACACAGAACTGCCAATAGCAGAGGTATAATATTGATGTGCTGTTAACTATTTGAAGATTTAAGAAGATTTGAATATTGATATGATAATTTAGCATTGAACTGCTTTAAGTTGGTATTCCTTGGTATCATGAATGCCAACTTGATAAAGGCATTGTGCTTCATTGAAAAATGTCCTTATCCTATTGTCACTTCTATTGCACATAAATGCCAATTTTTATTAAAAAAGCATTTCATATCCTAACTTGTGCTGAATGTCCTTTTAAATGTCTTGGTGCATTATAAGTGATTATAGAGCAAAAGAACTGAAAGTTAAGACTACAGGTAAACAAGGAGTGCATTTATAAATATTGTAATTATAGCCCACCATCTGATGATGGTGAATGCGCCATGACCGTGGTTAATGGTCTGTCCATCAGAGCAAAAGAATTCTTATTATCCGTTATTTCTTATAAATACTGGACAGATCTTTCTCAAATTTGTAGGTGCCCCTTGGATTTTGACAGTTGAAGTTTGTTATTGCTATTGCAAGTAATTTTCAAATTTTATAAAAATTAAGAACAAAAACAGAGAAAAGAAAGGGAAAATTAAGTTTTAAAGAACAAATTGAGATTTTATCAGGTCATCTGACCCTAGAGCTTTTGTGCTACGTCCCTCGCCTTTGTCTGCCTTGTGTAAACTTTCCACTGAAAAAACTTCTTCTCAATAGACCAAAAGTACTGATATTAGGCCGTATCAACTTCAAAGGTCACAGGGGTCAAATGTGTTAAAACCTTTAAACAGCTCCCTCAATAACCAAGTTTGTTACAATTAATTACCTTGACTCACTTGCAAGATCACAGGATTCCCAATGTTTTGAATTTTTATGGGATTATTGCATTTTTAGGTCATCTAACATAAAGGGCCTGGATGACCTATAGCCATCATGTTTCGTCCACATGTGCATGCTTGCCATGCACTGTGTGTAAACTTTCCATTCAAATGACTTCTTTTCAATAACCAAAATGCCCAGGGCACGTATTGGCTCCATAGCATGATAGGATAAAAGGCTGCCAAGTTGATTAAAATGAATGACCTTGGCCAACTTCAAAGGTCACAGGGGTCAAATATGCTGAAATCTTCAAACAACTTCTCATTAACCAAAAGGTGGAGGGTGCTGATATTGGGCCTGTGTGATGTTGAGATGGAGGGATACCAAGTATGTTTATATGAATGACCTTGACCCAATTTCAAGATCACAGGGTGTGTTGAAATATTTAAGACTTCTTCTCAATAACCAGAAGGCCCAGGGTGCAGATACTGGGCGTGTAGCATATTTGATCAAATTAATTACCTTGACCAATTTTCAAGGTCACAGGGGACAAATGTGTAAAAATCTTGAAAAGACATCTCCTCAATAACCAAAAGGCTAAGAGTGCTGACAATCAACTTGCAGCATGCTGTGATGAAGGGTTACCAATTTTGTTCATGTGACTGACATTTTCTCTTTTTAAAGGCCACAGGGGTCAAATGTGTTAAAATCTTCAAATATCTTCTTCTCAATAACAAAAAAGGTCCAGCTTGCTGATATTCATTCTTTAAGATAAGTGGGTGAAGGCTTAGGTCTACCATATTATTCAAATAATAGACCTTGACCTATAATCAAGGTCACTTTAGTCAAATGGTTTGGTTATCTTAGAATTTCTTTTCAACAAGCGAAAGGATCGAAGTAATGGCATTAGTGTAGTAGCATATACAAAAAATATGATTTCAAATTTGCAGAAAATGTTTTTATGAAACAACAGTATCTTCTTTGTAAGCTGTATATAGTTGAGCAATTTATTTTAGGCCTATATGGCCTCTTTCATGTATAGGCCTTTATAGTCAGCTGATCGTTAAGGCCTTCGGGTCTCTTGTTTTTATTTGTGTGACTTACATTGGCTTCTTGTTTTACTGTTTTACAGAACGCACTATGCAGAAGTTTTTGAAAAAAGGGCAGCTGAAAAGAAAAAATTTGATGAATATGAAATTGGAAGACAGATGCATAGACAGAGTCGCAGTACAGCACATATAAAGGAAGAGAATAAGTTAGCTTTTTATTTGATAATGGGATTTATGTTCATAGTATATGCAGCAGGAGGAATAACTTTTCAAGACATTGCAGTATCACAAGCAAATGAATCAAATATATTACAAAGAAAAGCACGAGAGAAAAGAGAGAAAGATCAGCGACTAGCAATTAAAGGAAACCTGGAGACAAATTTAGCTACAGATTGAATTAATAGATTTAAAATATTATTACACACACACACACACACACACACACATACTTAATTATTTTAAAGTGCTCTGGATCTCCTTCCTGTATCCTGAGTTTTTAAATTTGTTTTCAAACAATGTTGCTTTCATGAATTTTTGTGACTCAATTATTAGTTAATGTGATAAACAATGTTTCACATTAAGTTTTGTTTAAAGATTTGTTATACTCATGACATATCTTAAAGGTCACCAGCAACAATTTTGTTTCGCAGTTCTCAATATTTTGACATAAAGCTCACCTAAGTAATATCCTGAATCAATTTTCACCTCATGATGCTGTTATAGCGGAGTGGTGATGCTGCAGATAAATTTGATAACCTCTCCATGCTTCTATGGTCACACCCAGGAATCTCTTGTGTCTAAAATTTGTGACGTTATTTCTGCTATTGCACATGTGCCAGCTGGTACCACAGTAGAAGTCTCTGATGATATGACAGTTTTATAATCAAAGTTGTTTCAGCATTGATAGTACACTGTGTTGTTCACAGGTAGCATAAAACTAGTGAAAATTCAAATATGAGCTTCATCAATACAAAACAATATAGAAAGTCTGTGAAAAACCAAACAAATCTTAGATTAACAACAACTAACAAATTAACCAGGTGGGTTCTTCATTATCTGCCCAACATGGTAATTGGAAGATATTTGGAGTCGGGACCAGACACAGACTGTTTTATTTATCTGTATATTTTCACACAGACTAAGCAGACAAAGAGAGTGGATAGTGTAGTATTACCCTAATGTTACTATTATGTATATCAGACCATAGGATAACAATTATTAAGAAGAATTCAAATAGAATAGTTAGATACATATTCTTCAAAACATTCATTTACCATATTTGATGATAGCTAAATTCTAAAAAGTCATTGTGCATTTAAATAGTATTCTAAACTATCTTTGAAAATAATTTGATTCTACTGTAAATAAGTTATTTTCGCGTAGGAATTAATTTCGTGTTAATACATGAGGGGAATCAATTGTGAATTTGAAATCCTGTTTGTCAAAAGTTATATCTTGATGACGTCCATGCCAATTTGATTGCTGATACCTGAATACATATATGCTACTTTCTAGATTCCTTGTGTGTATAATCATGTGAATATGTCTGAAGAGGTAGATTTGCAAAATAAATTATCATGAAATCTAAGTGATTTACAGTAGTAATCACAGCAAAGATATGTTCTCATGGAATTTTCTAAGCATATTTATGTGTTTCTAAGTTTATTCATGTGTTTCACACTGGTTTTAAGCCCGATAATTTTCACATGAATTGCACCATGTCCTGTGGATGTGAACTGATGTGAAACTGGCTTGTGTTTATTACAGTTTGGGATATGAAGTTAGATTCGTTGCATAAATTATCACCACTGTACTCCTTTTAGCTGCTCTGAAACTCACACTGCTATAGTCAAATAACAAACTTTACCTCTTAAGTCGTTATATTGTGCTGGGCATGCTTACTTGACTAAAGTTGATTTAATGTGCACAGCCTTCTTAAACACTTATGAAAATGTGTCCAATGGCAGAATTGATGTCACAAATGATCAACCAATGAAAGTCCTTGGTTTCCAGAAAAGAAATAACCTGACATATTTTAACTTCCTCAGTTATTTACAGGTGAAAATAACCCTACCTGTGCACCAATAACTCGTTTTAGTTATTATCAAACATTTTTTCACCTAAAAGTAACTTTTCATTACTGGTGACCTTTACATAAGAAATTCTTGGTAATATTTTACAAATATTAATAGAAAGCTTATAGAAGTCTCTGTTTATACCAGTTTTAATGTGTTTGATGTTTTTTATCAGGTTTCTGTTTTGAGAACTTAAGTAACATATGATTTTAAAAGCTGGAAGTGTGCATCATTCAAAGTAGAAAATAAAAACAAAAAGGAGAGAGGTCTTTAAGAATAAATAGACTTACAGAGACCAGTATTACTTTAATCTTTCCTGATAAATTTCTAATTAAAAATGGAAAATGCAAATAACTTACCCTTTTGCCTTTTTTTCCTTTTTGTTTTCATCAGATATGTGATAAATACAAACAGCATATTCTGTGATAAATATTTGTGTGCTTACATTGACAGGCACTGTGAGAGTGTGGTATAAGTATCGGAAGGTACCAAATTATTACTTTTTTTATGGGTTCCTTAATCAACCTTCCTAGAAAGAATTAAGGGTTATCTTCCCTGGATTGGATATTGATCTTTACATTGCACAAGGAATTCAGCGTTATATGTTAATGGTTATAGACATAACTATAGCAATATCATGGTATTATAGTTTGCCGTTATCAAAGCTTATCCTGAGAATTGTTTTAAAATGTTCTGTATCTAAATATTGTTTTTAATGAAAATCTTTTTACCTCATAACAACATAGACAAACACTATTTCAAAAAAGACAAAGGAACCATTATTTCAATGGTTTATACTTTTTCCTCAACATTTCCAGAGTGTATATTCATTTTGTTTTAATAGGTCATTTTTTTAATTAGAAAAGAAACAATGGCCTTACATGTGTAACATCTCATTATGTAATACAGTGGCTACTTGTGACCTTAGAAGTACCTTATCTTTGTTCAGTACAGAAATTACTCGATGGATGTTACCTCTCCAGGTTGTATGACAATATTAAATCATCTGATTTAAGTTTTATTATAAGACAAACATTAACCAAAAATATAAGTATACACTGAATTGACAGGAAATTTTAGCCATGATTATTTTGTTTTTTTTTTTTTTTTTTTTTTTTGGGGGGGGGGGGTTTCAATTTTCACAGAGAATTTGTGCATGATCATACTTTCTTCAAACCAGGAAGTTAACCTTTTGACAAAGTTATATCATTGAGGTAATACAGAAGGTTGACTTTACAGTTTTGTGATTAAATGTAATGGAGACTTAAATGTTGTATGATAACTATATGTATGGGTCAAATTCAGGTGTCTTCTAAGAGTATACATTACAAACAAGGTTAGCAACATTGAATTGATTAATGTCAGATATAAAAGTGACCAGTACTGGAGTCTACATCAATGTATGATCATCATTATGTTTATGATATTTTGTATCTTTTTTTTTACACAGAATACACACAAAACAAACATTAAAAAATTATCCTTTAAACTGCTTATGAATCAAGAATTAGCTAGATCTTGTTGTAAAGATTTCAGAGTTCCAAAGCTTATAGACACAAATTTTGAAGGAAAAAAAGGTTTGATTTTCTGCTGATTTGTACAAGTTTATAATACATTTAGGTTTTCAGATTTTCCTACAATAATCTTGTACACATTCCTCTTTATGTCAGGGATCAGATTATAAAAGCCTTATATGATTTAAAGCAATGTGTCAAATATCAGAGATAATGGGACTTTATATATAAGTATTGATGTAATGGTTACCAAAACACATTGATGTTTATTTCTATAAAGTTGTCATAGGAACTTGCTCTGTTGACAGATAATCAGGGTAGATAACTGGTGAATGGTTTATAAGGAAATACATTGCAGAAATTAGTTTTACATTTAATCACATTTATGTATTTGTTATTATTGATTGCAAATCTAATTAAGTCTCAGGAAATCGCATAATGCTAAAAAGTGACGAAAAGAAAGAGGGATGATAGATCTTTAATTTGAAGTTACACTGAAATATTTCACCTCATGTTGATTGAAATGAATGAAACAATAGAAATAAAAGAAGAAAAGTATATTTATAAAGACTTATTTCTCCTGAAGGGATAGTAACCAATGGAAACTAAAAGTGAACCAGAACTATCATTTTTAAAAAAAAGTTTTAGAATATAGTAAATAGAAAAGTTACATTCACCTGTACAATAGTGGAAATCAAAAGACCAGACACAATTTTAGCCAATTATCAATCCCATTCATCTGTGGTCCGTCATCCCCCATCCGGTCCGTGCATCCATCAATCCATTGAAATTCTCTTTCCTTATTGCTATTTTCATAGAAGTATTGAAAGGGTTTTCTCAGACTTCAAATATATTTTCCCCTTGGTCCCTTATTTGGATTGAATTTTGAGACTGGTCTGGGAAACAACATGGTTGACATGTAGCCATCATGGATTTTGTTAGTTGAAGTTTGTTATCAATATTTCTCAAAAATAAATGCAAGGATATTTCTCAAACGATGTGTTGGTTCACCCTAATCCCTAGTTGTGCCCATTTAAATTTTAGTTAAATTAAAAGTATGGGACAGAAAGTTCCCAAATTTGACTAGGGCTCTTGTGCCCTTCGACAACCGTTCAAAAAACAAAATGGCTTACAGACAGTTATATTGGATTTTGACAATGAATGTTTATCACCATTAAGTACTGTATGAATCTGTCTCATTTCCTCAAATTTCATGGGTATGCTCCCCTTGGTCCCAAGTTTTGTCCTTGTGATTTAGGGACAAGAGAAACAAAATGACTGGCAGACGGCCATCTTGGATTTTGACAATGAAAGTTTGTTATCACTACTCAGAGATGTATTGGAGGCGTCGTTCTCAAACTTGTATATGTTCCTCATGGTCCCTAGTCGTTCCTATTTAATACTGAGACTGATCAGTGAAGCAAATCTTGATTTTAACAGTTGGTGTTGTTTTAGCTATTTGTTGTGAAGTATTCAAAAGATATTTCTAAAACATGATGTATAGGTTCTGGATGGTCCCCAAGTTATGCCAATTCAATTTTCTTTTTGCTCAAGAAAAGATAATGGATGACTGATCTTAATGAAGACCCTTACAGATTTTGACAGTTGTTTATAATGACTATTTCTTGTTAGATCTTGCTTAGATTTCATATGTGGGATTTCCCTGTTAAAGACAACTAAAAGGAAAAGGGGAGAGAAGGAATTTAAAGTGGAGAAAAGATCAGCATTTCAAAAACCCAATTAAGATTATTCAGTGGTGGGTACCAAGATTCCTCTGGGATCTCTAGTTTAACCTTGAAAATATCTTCAAATAATTTCATATCATAAAATAAAATGTTAAGATGGAATTTTGAGTATGGTGCAATAAAAGGTTGAAGTATTCTTAATTTCGTAGTGAAAATTTTGCATTTTCACATTATTGTTTTCTTATTATCCAGGTATTATCCTATTTTATTCTAATGAGAAATTAAATGAGTATTAAAAAATGAGTATTAAAAAAGATTGTCCCCCATAAAACAGAATGTCTGTTCTTTAAGAATAATATCAAGAACAGTAATTGAAAGTGTATATTATCTATTGCACTTCTGAAGCTGCAAAAGAAGTGCTTTTAAATTCTCTGAAAAAATCTCATTTTCGAAAAAATCATCACCTGCACAAAAGGTAAATTTCAGAAATTCTGCCTTCAATTGCTAAAAACCAACAAGAACATACCAACATGTTAACATTAGACAGGAAAGAAGATTCCAGAGATCTAATTACCTTGTTTGGTTATTAATAGGTATAGATATTGACTTGTACAGTCTGTTTATTAGGCTGGTGTGAAGACCAGTGTTTGTGTACTTAAGATAAGTTAGGATTGGATAATATTTGGATAGGTAAGTGAATTATAAAGCGTAACGTGTCTGATCTCGAAAAAAAGACATGAAGTGGCAAACATCAGGCAGTTTTTTTCTTCAATTGTGTTGTACGTATGATTAAACAGAAGGTAGTTGAAAGTCATTAAATGAGATGAAAACAAATTTTGAACAGATAACTTTGAAGTTTTGAACTTCATATCGTTGGTCTGACGTGTAAGCTGAACATTTCAAGACCGATTTCTTGGCTACTGGAGATCGATTTTGACTGAATTTTTGGGTGCGCACATAATGCAAGTAGAAGCCTTTTTTTACTTATTTCAGCCTAAAAAGTTCCTGCAGACATTACACATGGTTTTACAATAATGATAACCCAAACTCAAATTCAATCAAACGAGAGGAAAATTTGAACAAAAAGATTTACACGGAGACTCCTGAAAAAATACAAGGAGAATAAGACCGCGTGTTCCGGAAGGGTAAGCGTCTTCTAATTCATCGACGGTACCCGCCAGGTAAATCTTGGTCTATGCAAGTAAGTAATTTCTCAAATGAGAAACAGCAGGCACCAAACACGTCCAGCTTCCTATCGCACAATGAAATAGAATGACGATCGTAAAACTTCCCCGTAATTTTCACCAACCTCCATCTTTTGACACCCTTTGTTTACCGCTGGTTAACTCGAATTAACCTTTGAGCAACTGGGGCCAAGGTAACTCTAACAACCCTTGGAGCTACGAAGGCCTGGCCTTCATGCATTCCAAGAAATGTTTTACAAATAATTGGTACAGCGCACATTTGGTTTTGCAAATCAATCTTGCTTACATCAAAGAAGAACTTAAGTGTTGGTCAACATGAAAGCGAATTCATAATGCAGAATTATCTGCTGTTGTGAACAGGTTTTGACTAAATTCAAGAGCAGATGATGGCTGCGGATTCTCGTCACGTGCCGAAGAAGCAAACAGACACCGACATATTTGTTTATCATACAAAAACCCAATTATGCTGATGCATACCAAATAGGACCTCCTTATTCTGTATCAGCACCTGTTATACTGTGAGGTTCGGATGCATTTTAAACTTAAAACGCGTTACATTGACCATTATATAATATAAATGGTCAGCTGTGTCTTGTCAAACGGTCATTTCATAATTATCTTGCGACACACGTGCAATAACTCTGTTGTGACGTCATATATAAGTCACGTCTTTATGAAGTCACATGATTGTCTCGTTAGTAGAATGTATCATCATCCGCGCGCGTGAAAACCAAGTCTGTCACACTCGAGGCTTTCGATATCGTGGGCTATATTTTGACTTTGACCCTGTATACCCTTTCTCTTAGGATCTCGAGAAATCCACTGCAGAGCAGAAATGGTCGCTGTGACCTATATTTTTACTTTGACGAAGTCGCCAGTGATATTTCACTTGAAGTTTTCTAAATGTGTTGTATATTCTAGAAAACGATGTGCTACACGCTGTTAAAAGGTTAACGCAATCTTTAAAATCATAATTATGACCTTTGGCACTGTAAAGATGAATACAGCTTCTTGTATATAGTAGCACTGTAAAGATGAATACAGCTTCTTGTATATAGTAGCACTGTAAAGACGAATACAGCTTCTTGTATATATATAGTAGCACTGTAAAGATGAATACAGCTTCTTGTATATATATATATATATATAGTAGCACTGTAAAGATGAATACAGCTTCTTGTATATATATATATATATATATATATATATATATAGTAGCACTGTAAAGATGAATACAGCTTCTTGTATATATATATAGTAGCACTGTAAAGATGAATACAGCTTCTTGTGTATATATATATAGTAGCACTGTAAAGATGAATACAGCTTCTTGTATATATATATAGTAGCACTGTAAAGATGAATACAGCTTCTTGTATATATATATAGTAGCACTGTAAAGATGAATACAGCTTCTTGTATATATATATATATAGCACTGTAAAGATGAATACAGCTTCTTGTATATATATATAGTAGCACTGTAAAGATGAATACAGCTTCTTGTATATATATATATAGTAGCACTGTAAAGATGAATACAGCTTCTTGTATATATATATATAGTAGCACTGTATATATATATATATATATATATATAGTAGCACTGTAAAGATGAATACAGCTTCTTGTATATATATATAGTAGCACTGTAAAGATGAATACAGCTTCTTGTATATATATATAGTAGCACTGTAAAGATGAATACAGCTTCTTGTATATATATATAGTAGCACTGTAAAGATGAATACAGCTTCTTGTATATATATATATAGTAGCACTGTAAAGATGAATACAGCTTCTTGTATATATATAGTAGCACTGTAAAGATGAATACAGCTTCTTGTATATATATATATAGTAGCACTGTAAAGATGAATACAGCTTCTTGTATATATATATAGTAGCACTGTAAAGATGAATACAGCTTCTTGTATATATATATATATATAGTAGCACTGTAAAGATGAATACAGCTTCTTGTATATATATATAGTAGCACTGTAAAGATGAATACAGCTTCTTGTATATATATATATAGTAGCACTGTAAAGATGAATACAGCTTCTTGTATATATATAGTAGCACTGTTTCGTAAAGGTTAACAAGGTTTCCGTTCTGAGACACATTCAGATAGTTGACGCTTATATTTTGACATTCCTTATACGGTACAGGCAGTTCCCAAAACGAGTCTGATGTTTTGAAATTTCAGACATATTTGTAAACATTTCGGGGAATGTGTGCTATGCCGTAAAATCAGTCAATTCATCATCATCATTGTGCATTATGAGCATTGGTGGGCAGAAATGAATTTTTAAAAAAACAAACATAACAAAACTTTGAGACGACTTTCAAAATATTTCTTACGAGATTGAAACAAATTTTATGGTGGCATGTTACTTCCATCTATATGTCTAATTTTTGTCGTGATATCGCTCGATAGTGACAAATATTGAAATTTAACATTCTACTCGGAAGGCTTCGGTATTTAGGGTTTTCGGTGACGAAGAGAGAAAAAAAATACTGTGGCCAGTGTAGGGCGAGCCTCCTATAGCTGATGTTCATCTGTCTTAAACATATTGTATACAGGTATACCAAAGAAATCGGAAATCTTAAGTCTTTTTTCTGTCTTATTTTCATTATTGTTCTTCGATCTGATTCTAGAACAATATTTGTCAATAATTAAGAGTATTTCGCTTTGTTTGTGTTGATTACTTCTCTTCAATGTATTCACTTTTAGTTGAAGTAATATGAAACATTGGCATGTCCAGCGCACAGGGGCCTATCATGTTAGGGTTTGTATGGTTGTAGTATACTATACAGCCCTTCATCCACCAAAAACATTGTTACAGGCCCTTGTGGTCCAGCGTATCGAGCTCGGGACCGCGGAAGGATCTTTTTGATTTTAATGTCACATGCCGTTTACAACTGCGAGTAAATGTGTCACGTGCTGCAAAATTAAACTTTTCATCTTAAGCATGTTTTATAAGATATAACCTACCTTTGGAACGCTATATAAGGATATTATTTATTGCTCATTTTCATTGTAATACTCTAACAGCTTGCTGGGTAATCGTCTTTTAAACAGCCAGGGTCATTTTGAAGCGGGGTCTACTTGTAGTTGCCGGTTTCTACCTCAAAAGCAGACTGGTCCGTTTCTCAGTTTCTTCAGAAAGAACCCGCCACGGGTTGAGCGATATACTACAAATCTTCATCAGGGGTTCAACGTAGGTACATCACTTAACCGACTCGTGGCCCTTCGCTTTCTTATCAATACTATGATAATGTTTGTATATCGGGTATAGTGTTATAACTCTATTTCCTCTTAAATTCTATAGCTGATCACAAATCAAACAGTATACTTAATTGGAAATTGAACCACAGCACGAGTGAAAGAGCTGCTCTCCAATTAAATCCACAAGCATTCGACCTGCCATGGGAAATAACTCACTGGTAGAGAGAATTTTTTTATTGTTTTCGACATGGTAGGTCACACACTCAATCAAAATTATGTGTGGACGATATCTTCTGAGAAAAAGCTGCCTTGGACAAAGGCTCTGAAGAAAAATACCGGTACTGCTTAGAACATCATGGGAAATTCAAACTTTGGGAAATAGACGGAGACATCGTGAAATGAAAAATATACTGTTAAAATATTGCATTTGATCGAAATATTGCGTGCGTTTAAACGAAATTTCGCAATGATATTTACATAGTGCTCCTTTCGCGTAATCTAACTTTGATAAGCGAGCTTAAGAAATACTTTTCAGGAAAAATACAGAATATTGCCGTCTATTAATTTATATTGCATTTTTTCCAACCAAAATGAAAGTCAGAGAGTTCTAATGTGTTAAAGGTCCATATTTGGTTGATGTCGCCTAAGGAATAAACCGTCTTTTTTCACCGATGTAAAAACTGCATTTTTCACATGAATTTTAAATGACGCACGTTATTTTCTTTATTTTGAAAAGAAAAATTACTTACGCTCCTTAACTATAAAAATAAATGTTTACACTTAGGGTAAACTGTCCAGCCTGCCAACCTTTCCCAACAAAATGGATTCAGCTATTTTGTCATCCCGCCAGTTGTTGGACTGGTCCGTCAGTACGCATAATGTCAGATGAATGACGATTATCATTTTTTTAGTAGGAAAATAAATTTAACAAAAAATAAGAAATGTTAAAATGTCATTGTACTGTATCTTTCGTTTATTTATTTTTTTAATTTGTTTTTTACTGGTGTGTAAACTGCATTGTTCTATAGTTACTTACAACAGAAAAAAACTAACATTCAAAACTATATCTGAAAGTGAATTCAAAGTTATTCTACACATTAAAATTAAATACCATTAACTAGTGAAAATCGATAAGTGACAATCTCGATCAGTTACTAATAGTTATTCATTTATCTCAAGTTTACTCCGTGGATTTTAGAATCATTTTACAGATAAGTGTGGACCATGACTGGAACCTTTAATATCCTCAGCCATATTACATACGAACCAGATGAATTATACATGAAGTATGTACGACTGTTATGCCTGAATTCACACTAACATATTGATATGCTCGGTTCAAACAAGCTGATATTGAATTTATCTCCAGTGGGTGCCCCGGCCTCAGAGCCTTTATACTAGACAACAATGACGAGGAATCTTCTTCAGAAGATCAGGTTAAAACATTTGATGTGCGGTGCAATACTTACTTTGCTAGTCATCGTTGTTTTATGGATGCGGGTAACAATCGAAAATGTGTATGTCGACATCGAACGGTATGTATACTCAATATCTATTACTACAAAACGTAACCGTGTGTAGAATATAGCACTTCATCTGATTGGCAGGTTAAACTCAAAGATACACTATATATGATATGTACGTATAGTGAGCTCTTGGGGGTTTCAGTGTATTTCTGTATTCTCTATAAAGAAAACAATGTACCGATAGTGCTATCAAATCTATATTTATCCGAGACTGATGTTTCTATTTGACACTTTTCCTGACAAATATTACTAAACATCAGTAATATTGATTTCAGTATTGAGTATTTTGTCTATAACTTCTCATTTCACTGATTCTAGACATCAATATTGTTGGAATATTCGATATTTTTCCAATATTGTCCTCCCCAAATTTCTATTACATTGAAAACATTTTACGTTTAAAAAAATGAGGTATCATTCTTACAAGTGTGATTTAACGGAATAAATGCAATCCCAACCCCCCCCCCCCAAAAAAAAAAAAAATAATAAAATTATATAATAGAAAACAAATAAACAAACAAGCAAACGAGAATAATATATCACGTTTTCTTTTCAAGCATTTTTGGACATGTTATAAAATAGTCTTCACTGACAAAGAAATTTCAGAGAAATTACAACCGTTTCACATTTTCTTGTGTGAGAGTTTATATAGAAACAAATCAAATAAACGCGTTTCACTTTTAATTATTATTAATATTCTACGTGCCACTTACTTTTCATATATTTAGTTAGTTTATCATTGACTTCACAAAAATGTAGGTAAATATTTTGTAGAATTGATTTCAATATTCGAAAGCCAGTTGCATTACTCAGTATATAGAACCAATACATGTTTGGACGCACATACGGAATGGTCGTTACGGTTCCAATCATCACTGCTTACCTGTAGGTTAATTGTTTGCTTTTTTGTATCGATGCTGTAATACATTTCATATCATTTCTTTATCGATTTTACCTTAAACCATATTTACACTGTTCACCTACTGTTGTGTCCCCAACAAAGACTGATCGCTATCACAGAAATTGATTATTGGAAACTGATCTTTGCAACGGTATTGTGTGTAGTATATCAAAACTAATATGTTCATAATTATTCACATCAGACTCATCCTCTTTCATTTACCAAGCGACAGTTGATTTCCGGCTCAATATAGACCGCACCACATCTAAACATATTTTTTATACATATACATTATATATAACCACAAACAGACGTGCTAAACAATACACACTTGTTTCCTGTGATATTTGGTTTATACAACGTGTATGATGTCTGTGTTGGATCATTACACTAATTTTATCCACGAGTTTCAATATATTATTTAATGAGAGGATACTCTAAAGGTTAACTGACATGCTCCATATTTATTTTATTTCGTTTTTTAGAAATACACACATTCGTTTTATCGAAATAATATTTTATTTCGTTTTTTCGAAATAATAATTCGTTTTTTCGAAATAATATTTCGCTTTTTCGAAATAATTTTTCGAAAAAACGAAATAAAATAAGTATGGAGCATGTCAGTTAACGGGCTCCGTATTAAGGTGACACACACCGAAATACTTAGATTTTAATTTGTACTCGGTTTTTGAATACACTAGAATCTGTTGTCCCAATGTGTTGAATTCAACAGTTAACATAACATAAAGTAATATTTGATGTCCCAATGTGATGAGTTGACTATTTAACATTTATGGAAAGTAATATATGGTGTCTCTGTTGTGACGAGTTGACCTGCTGACATAATGTAAAGTAATATCTGTTGTCTCAATGTGACGGGGTGACCATTTAACATAATGTAAATTAATATGAATTTGCTCTGTTGTGTCGAGTTGACCATTTGGCATAATGTAAAGTAATATATGTTGTCTCTGTTGTGATGGTGTCGACCAATTCATAATGTTATCTGTTGTCTCAATGAGACGAGCTGATCAACTAATCTAATATATGGTAACATCTGTTTCTTAATGTGACAAGTTGACCAACTGATAAAACATAAAGTAATATATGTTGTCTCAATGTCACGAGTTGACTGTTTGACAAAATGTTAAGTTATTTTGTCTCTGTTGTCACGAGATGAAAATTTGACATAATCGTTTGTCTCTGGTGTGACGATGTTGACCAATTGACGAAAGTTATATCTGTTGTGTCAATGTGATAACGTGACAATGGAGTCTATTTTTGTATCAGTTATCTCTTTTTGACCAGAAAATAGAATTGTTAGGACACGAACGTAAATCCAAATCGGCCTATACAAATACATAACTATAGAAGAACGGATGCTTTTAACCTATACTTGAAAGGTATTTTCTCCACACTAATTGCACCATCCCTTTACAGAATGTACAGTGCATTGGTTCTCAACACAAAGTGTTATTCTCCATACTTAGTACAGTTTCCTATATATAGGCTGCTCTTAAGCTATGTTACCGGCTCCGCACTCTATGGATTGCCTTCATGTTAAGTGTAAAATCCAATAAGTGTACCATTCCAACATAAAGTGCCTAGTCCCATACTTAGTGCCCCCGTCCCTTATACTAAGTGCCCCCGTTCTCTATACTAAGTGTCCCGTCCCCACACTCCGTGCCCCGTCCCCTATACTAAATGCCCCGTACCCTATAATAAGTGCCCCCGTTCTCTATACTAAGTGTCCCGTCCTCACTCTCCTTGCCCCGTCCCTTATACTAAATGCCCCCGTCGTCTATATTTAGTGTCCCGTCCCCACACTCCGTGCCCCGTCCCCTATACTAAGTGCCGCGTCCCCTGTAATAAGTGCCCCCGTCCTCTATACTAAGTGTCCAATCCCCACACTCCGTGCCCTGTCCCCTATACCTGGTGCCTAGTCCCATACTAAATGCCTCGTCCTCTATACTAAGTGCCCCGTCACTGCACTCCGTGCCCCGTCCCCTTTACTAAGTGCCCCATTCCCTATGCTAAGTGCCCCGTCCTCTTTACTAAGTGCCCCGTTCCCTATGCTAAGTGCCCCGTCCTCTATACTAAGTGCCCCATTCCCTATGCTAAGTGCCCCGTCCTCTATATTAAGTGCCCTGTCCCCTTTATTAAGTGCCCCGTTCCCTATGCTAAGTGCCCCGTTCCCTATGCTAAGTGCCCCGTCCTCTATACTAAGTGCCCCGTTCCCTATACTGTGTGCCCCGTCACCACACTCTGTGCTCCGTCTCCTTTACTAAGCGTAATGTCCTCTAAACAATGTATACTGTCCTCACACTAAATATACCGATTCCTTACTAGATGTGTTGTCCTCATACCTGTTCCTTACTAAGTGTGTCGTCATCATACCGGTTCCTTACTAAGTGTATCGTCCTCATACCTGTTCCTTACTAAGTGTATCGTCCTCATACCGGTTCTTTACTAAGTGTATCGTCCTCATACCGTTTTTATACTAAGTGTATCGTCCTCACACCGTTCCTTACTAAGTGTATCGTCCTCATACCTGTTCCTTACTAAGTGTATCGTCCTCATACCTGTTCCTTACTAAGTGTATCGTCCTCATACCGTTTTTATACTAAGTGTATCGTCCTCATACCTGTTCCTTACTAAGTGTATCGTCCTCATACCTGTTCCTTACTAAGTGTGTCGTCATCATACCTGTTCCTTACTAAGTGTATCGTCCTCATACCGTTTTTATACTAAGTGTGTCGTCATTATACCGGTTCCTTACTAAGTGTGTCGTCCTCATACCTGTTCCTTACTAAGTGTATCGTCCTCATGTCTGTTCCTTACTAAGTGTATCGTCCTCATACCGTTTTTATACTAAGTGTGTCGTCATCATACCGTTTTTATACTAAGTGTGTCGTCATCATACCTGTTCCTTACTAAGTGTATCATCCTCATACCTGTTCCTTACTAAGTGTATCGTCCTCATACCGGTTCCTTACTAAGTGTATTGACCTCATACTAAGTGGACCGCCCCAACACAAAATCTATCGACCCACACCAAGTATACCATCCCCATACTGCTCCAAATGCTCAAGTGCCGCCTCCTATGATAAAGGTTCGATACCACATAAACCCTGCATAGTCACATGTTTAGTTCAAATGAATCCTATAATGTCGACTGTGCCATTATATAAATACATTTGTGTGTGTCGTATGGAAAGTCAGCAAAGTAATTTTGCCACGATTCTAATTCATTATTGATGAGGCATAACAACTACACCGACAACATCGGTAAACAACAGTGGTCACATAGGAATCAGGTTTTATAGCTTCACGGTCGTGTGATTATGTTGCTTGTTATTTTAGTGTGAATTCCCTTAGCTGTAGTTCTCCACGGACGGAGTACACACACGTTTCTCTTCTTCTTTTTTTTTTTTATCACAGACAGACATTTAATAGCAAATATTAATGAGAATTCTTATAGTCTAGAGAGTTTGGTATGTCGGGAATTTCGGTTCGATTATTTGTGTAATTGTTGAAGCGAATGGAACATTTTACAGTGTTTCAATAATATACAGAAACTCGGAAACAATAGAACGTGATAATGGATATCTGTATGAAAATATTTTTCATATGGAAGAATAATTTCTGAAATAAAAGAACGATGGTAACATTTTTTTTACAAAAGTATTTATTTAGTTAATTCCTTTTTTCAGGATATTTCTGAACATACTGAAAACTACTTTTGGGGGAATGCGGCATATTATGATGTGATAGAATTGTTCAACTCTTTGAATGAAATTGATATAATTTGTTATCTCATTTTACCTTTATGGGGGTGACGGGAAAGAGGGCCGGGGATAATATGGTAGCACAGGGACCTACTACTTGGTCACAATCTAGGTGAATATGGATGTAACCTCGTCTATTTCTAGGGTTTAAGACATTTTGTGGGGACAGACCTGTTTATCAAGGACTTCCTCTACATACCCAGTATCCTTTTATAGACGTTTCGTCGCCAACATAGTTTCACAAATATCGTTACCCAGTTCTTTCCTAAACTGATTGAGAAAATTTTGCGTTATTCTTGCCTTTTAGATATTGTTTTAATTGTATCTATGTTGCACATATCGAGACTTTGTCCGAACAGCGGGTATCGGAAAATGAGGTAGGTTATATAATTTGCACCTTGTCTTATTCCTATACTGCTACATATCGATTTCAGGACAGTCAATCCAATCCGGCCTCCGAATTTTTCCAAAAAAATGATAAGCGACGTACTCTTCATCGGCTACGTCATGGGAGGCACCGTATTTCCGGCTGAGGTACTGGGCATGCGCCCTGGACATTTTTACGTGCACGAACCCCTTCACAAAATCGCCAAGTATCAATATTTCAAGCCTGGCTATGTCTGTAACATGATGAATATGAATTGCAAGTAAGTGGTGTCGTTTCTTAACGAAAACCTGAATCCTTAGCTCGTTGATATGTGACATTTTCCCCGGAAACAGTATGTACCAGTAACAAATAGGACGATATAGGAATAAATTCGTCGGTATTTTTAATGAAAAACCGTAAACTGAAAATTTCTGTCTCTAAAATGATAATTCCATGCTTATGTTATTAATTTGATCGGTTATACTCATTTAAGATATAATCAGTTGTATGCGTGTATCAAATATCAATTCATTAAAGATGAAAATCAGCACGGAATTATCATTTTAGAAACAGAAATTGTCAGTCTAGTAGGGACTTGTTACGAAACGTATGATGAAATAGCGACACTCACTGAATCGCACTATGTCGTATTTTATATACTCATAACCATGGCAACTTGAATTCTCTTCCTCTCGATCTGACTGACATTGACATTATCTTAATGGGGGTGCTTTTTTAACATATCAACATGGTGACCAGCAATTCTTAAACTGTTCGTCTCTTCATCAATTTGCATGTATGCCTAACTTCACCTCTGATGCGCCTTTCGCCCTAGGAAATACAAGAAGGTACTGTAACGTCATGTGATTTTTGTTTGTATTTTCAGCGCTACTCAAGTGGCTGACAGAGAGGCACTCGGTATTGTTAATGCTGTGTATCAATGCGACAACACTCGTTACAGAGGACACTTGCGGATGTGGCAGTTACGCAAAATTGTTGGCGACCAGTTAACCTGGCAACGAAGCATGCAGGTACATTGTGGAGGCGGACAGCATAAGGATTGTCGAGGAAAGCTTTTAAGTCAATGTTCTCATTCGATGTCAAGGGTCGTTAGTACCCCTCGACTAAGTTTAAGTCTTGCTTCACGTTTATTGACACAACTGCCCAATCTGAAAATCGTTCATGTATATCGTGATCCTAGAGCGATAATGTATTCAAATATTCATGCTAAATGGTCTTTTCCTGACGGAGAAATGGACACAGCCAAATCGCTTTGTTTAAAAATGAATGCCGATTTGGCCGAATCCGTTCATATAAAAAACGTTTTCCCCAACAAATTCCTAACTGTTTTTCATGAACAACTGGCGACAGCACCAGAAAAGACAATGCAAAAAATATTTGATTTTGTTGGATATGAAATGGATGAAAATGAATCGGTAATTAAGAAGTTCAAGACACTATTTTACGAAAACTCTACATTGAAACCGAGGACATGGAGAACGCATGCGTCGTGGTCTTTTGTTAAAGTTATTAATGAAGCATGCGCAGGGCTTTATCGCTCACTTGGTTATCCAGACTTAGCCGATAGATACGAAGTATCCAATAACAGCATACCACTTTTGATATCGACAACTGGTAACAACATACCAGCTCTAAATGACACCGTCAAGTAGTTTGGTTTTAAAACGTTGGCAACGAAATCTGTGTTGTAACTGTAAGACATTGTAAGACAATGACTTTGTAGCTGTTTTGATTTGTTGGTTGTAACAGTTTGTACATTATCTTATAGTGAGAATCACAGCAGTAGACGTTTATTGAATGTTTAGTTGAAATATATTTCTTGTTTCATTTTACTTCAATTTAGATACAACTTAATAATGACATGTTTTAGATTTCATTACTGCATCAGATAAGGAATATAGGACACCTTCTTCGATGACACTCAGCAAACATTTATCGACCTACTTCATCAACGGCATTTGTTAACATAGTAACTTTACTTCATCAGCAATATTTGTTGACAGTAACTTTACTTCATCAGCAATATTTGTTGACAGTAACTTAAGTGCATCAGCAATATTTGTTGACATAGTAACTTTAGTGCATCAAAAATATTTTTGACAGTAACTTTAGTGCACCAACAATATTTGTTGACAGTAACTTTACTTCATCAGCAATATTTGTTGACAGTAACTTTAGTGCATCAACAATATTTGTTGACATAGTAACTTTAGTGCATCAGCAATATTTGTTGACATAGTAACTTTAGTGCATCAAAAATATTTTTGACACAGTAACTTTAGTGCACCAACAATATTTGTTGACAATAACTTTAGTGCACCAACAATATTTGTTGACAGTAACTTTAGTGCACCAACAATATTTGTTGACATAGTAACTTTAGTGCATCAGCAATATTTGTTGACACAGTAACTTTAGTGCATCAAAATATTTTTGACACAGTAACTTTAGTGCACCAACAATATTTGTTGACAATAACTTTAGTGCACCAACAATATTTGTTGACAGTAACTTTAGTGCATCAGCAATATTTGTTGACACAGTAACTTTAGTGCATCAAAATATTTTTGACATAGTAACTTTAGTGCACCAACAATATTTGTTGACAATAACTTTAGTGCACCAACAATATTTGTTGACATAGTAACTTTAGTGCATCAGCAATATTTGTTGACACAGTAACTTTAGTGCATCAAAAATATTTTTGACACAGTAACTTTAGTGCACCAACAATATTTGTTGACAATAACTTTAGTGCACCAACAATATTTGTTGACAGTAACTTTAGTGCACCAACAATATTTGTTGACATAGTAACTTTAGTGCATCAGCAATATTTGTTGACACAGTAACTTTAGTGCATCAAAATATTTTTGACACAGTAACTTTAGCGCATCAACAATATTTGTTGACATAGTAACTTTAGTGCACCAACAATATTTGTTGACATAGTAACGTTAGTGCACCAACAATATTTGTTGAGTGCACAACAATATTTGTTGACATAGTAACTTTAGCGCACCAACAATATTTGTTGACATAGTAATATTAGTGCACCAACAATATTTGTTTACATAGTAACTTTAGTTCATCAGCAGTATTTGTTTACATGGTAACTTTTGTGCACCAACAATATTTGTTGACATAGTAACTTTAGTGCACCAACAATATTTGTTGACACAGTAACTTTAGTGCACCAACAATATTTGTTGACATAGTAACTCTAGCGCACCAACAATATTTGTTGACATAGTAACTTTAGTGCACCAACAATATTTGTTTACATAGTAACTTTAGTGCACCAACAATATTTGTTGACATAGTAACTTTAGTGCACCAACAATATTTGTTGACATAGTAACTTTAGCGCATCAATGACATTTGTTGACATATTAACTTTAGCGCATCAATGCCATTTGTTGACATAGTAACTTTAGCGCATCAATGCCATTTGTTGACATATTAACTTTAGCGCATCAATGCCATTTGTCGACATATTAACTTAAGCGCATCAATGCCATTTGTTGACATAGGTACTCTGGTACAATTTAAGCTAGCTTTCTTGGGTACATTTGTTGCTTAGTTTATATTTGCAACATCTTTCTCACATCATTCTGTAGACAGTTAACGAAATAACACAATAAATCATCTTGGCGAATATCTAGACATATAGACTTTGAAAACCAGCAGAATGTTCTTTCCACGACCACCAAAAAAAACCCAAAACACCATTTAAACAGCATCTTCATACATCATTTCTTTATTTCACCTGGTATATAGTTTTACAGCAGAAAAAAAACTCATAGACAATCTCTTGACTCTAAAAGATCCAGACTTGTTGCATTGGTCAATATGAATAAGATTTACATGGATTTTTAACATAGAAATAAGTAACGTCACAATGAAGGGCGCTAGTTTTAGTGCCATTACATGCTTTTTATTTCCGAACTTCTGTTACAAATATTAAATATAAAACACATAGCTAAACCCTTGAATATAAGCTATTGTTTACACTGTACTTAGCTGTCATTAGTTTAGAGTTTCATGGCTTGTTGTCGAAAGAAGCTCATTTCAATTTGTCTGTTTTGTTTTGTTTTTGTTTTGTTTTTGTTTTCTTTATTTTTTTGTTTTGTTTTGAAATTCATAGCTTATTTGTGATATCGGCTGATTTTTTCTGATAACGGTGTGTATCGACGGGAACTATCTATTTAGAAATCTTTGATGATGTTCATGTTCGACTCGTAGAATACCCCAACATGAAACATTTGAATAAATAAATAAATAAATAAATAAATAAACAAATACCAATAGTCAAGGGTATTGTTTTCTTTAACATAATAAACGCACTTCCATTGTTTATGTTTGAACATTTGCTCTTAAAGGGCGCTGACAATATCAATAAAACCGTAGTAAAGGAGAAGTCATATCGAGTTAGAATTTACAATATACAAAACACATTTCTATATCAAATAAATCCGAAAATATTTAGAGGGGTCATTTCCGATATAGTAGACGTTATATAAAACCTTAATTACTCATTAATATTATCTAAAGCCATCATGCATGCGAACATCGCTTTCGATCTATCTCTCATTACTATGACCACGGACTGAACTTTAGATCTAAGTCCTAGATATTGCATTGAATTGTCTCCCTTTTATAGACTGTAGTTGTGTTTAATAGACAAATCGTCACGTCAACGGAATCAACGGTAATAATAAATCTATAGTATGAACCAATATCTCAGTGTTATTCTACTACATGAAAGCTTTTAAGACAACTCCATTAAGATCTAACGATAACACACTCATTGAAAATCTTGCCCGAAGCAGTTAATATACTTATTACGCCATACTATTAGATCGAGCATTGGGAGCTGAGTAATATAAATGGAATTATATTAAATTAAACTTCATACATTAAACGCAATGCATTTGCAGTTTTTAATTGATTGCGTCACTGTTATGATAACCCCATCATGTTTAGGAAAGTATGATGTTGAAATGGCAATCCTTATATATACATATATATATATTCCAGCTGAATTTGATTCCTTATCAGTGATCAGATACGTATCTTTTACATTGTTTTTGTTCAAATTAAAAGCAATGTCCAACGTACTACAAATCTAAAATTTTACATACGAGTAATATTGTTCCTTTACATTGCGCAGTTTAGACAATAAACACATGTTTTGTAAATTACATATAAGTATGAAATGGACATAGCGAGTCAAAGTCAATTTTCGACAAAACTTTGATTTTGAGATAGAACAGTCTTACACACATAACGAATGTCTATTCGTTACTTATATGTATAAACTTTACTGTATGGCTGATACACTACGTAACATCTCTATTATTTAATACAAACGCGTGTCACTTATGTATTTAACGAAATACGTTAAACTGGACATGTGTAAACATCAGAAGCAACTTTACTCTGACATTTCAGAATAACCGGACATGCACGTCAACCAATTTGATTCACCTGATGGACTTTTTCCCCTTCCTAGTGGAAATATTTAACTATTTTCCAGAAGGCTCAACATATCTTCTCCTGCTTTCGGGTTTTTTTTCTTTCTAAAAAAGTTAAGAGGAGAATTAAACATTGTTTTGATTTTCATGTTTCCCTCCTTTGCAAAGCTTAAAGCCCTTTTGTGAGCGGCTTTGATGTCATTTAACGATAGGTCCACTTTTATGTCTCGAAGTTTCCATGCGCTTAACCGATTGTATGACTGTCCAAACTTGTAAGGGGCACGTGCACAAAAGTGACCCAATGTGATGGCGCGATGTACTACCATACCGATAAATTGGATTACAAAGAGGGACACAAAGACACTCAGGAACAATAATCCTGAAAAGTAAAAATCATTCATTGGATATATTTGTTATAACAGGTAATAGTAACTGTGATAAAGATCCTACCTATTTGATAATACTGACATAGATAAAGACCCTACCGAATCGATAATACTGACATAGATAAAGACCTACCGAATCGATAATACTGACATAGATAAAGGCCTACCGAATCGATAATACTGACACAGATAAAGACCCTACCGAATTGATAATACTGACATAGATAAAGACCTACCGAATTGATAATACTTACATAGATAAAGACCTACCGAATTGATAATACTGACATAGATAAAGACCTACCGAATTGATAATACTGACATAGATAAAGACCTACCGAATTGATAATACTGACATAGATAAAAACCCTACCGAGTTGATAATACTGACACAGATAAAGACCCTACCGAATTGATAATACTGATATAGATAAAGACCCTACCGAATTGATAATACTGACATAGGTAAAGACCTACCGAATTGATAATACTGACATAGGTAAAGACCCTACCGAATTGATAATACTGACATAGATAAAGACCTACCGAATTGATAATACTGACATAGATAAAGACCTACCGAATTGATAATACAGACATAGATAAAGACCCTACCGAATTGATAATACTGACACAGATAAAGACCCTACCGAATTGATAATACAGACATTCTATCAAAACTATATGGAATGGTTATCCTTTTTTATCATTCATCAATAAAAATACTTATTCATTGCATGTTGCGTTCAAAAGAACGGACAACTATTTGGTGTAATTTAAATAAAATCGGTCGAAAAATGAAGAATCTTCATTATCAAAGTCTCCATAATGACTTTTTATGACGTACATTTTTGTTCAAGTTACCCTCTCATCAGATACCAGTTGATGCTGAATCGTAAAACGAAACTCTATAACACATCATTCGTGCAAAAAAACCCATTGAATTCATCACCTTCTTTGAAATATAATACAATCAATAGATAAATGATCACCGGAAGTGCTTATATCATCTTTTACACGATATCGCTTATATCATTAACAATCGATATTATTAGCGTTAAATGATTGAGATATTTTACAAGTTGTCGCTTATATAATTAAGAATAACGTTACCTATGGGATCAGTTCCATACATCTTGAGCTCTAGTTTCGAGGCCAACGTTGACAGAAGAATGAGCCACAACATATTAGAAACAGCAAGGGTCATCAGAAAATTGTTCCTTAGTTCTCCAAGTTTTTCTGGAACAAAATGATGTATGTGATGTGAACTATCTAACTATACATGTGACACATGTAAACGGATAATTGATAGAAAGGGAAACACGCTTTAATTTGCTCTCGTATTATCATCCAAGGAGGAAAATGCAGCCGGAAAGCAATTTAAATACATATATGTCATGTAGAACTCGCAATTTCCAAAACTAAGCAAAGTGACCAAAATACAAATCCGTTTAAGGTGCATGTGTCAAATGACTTGTCATTTTATTCTCACCTGAGCATTTGTAATTCTGCCAAAACCGGCTATTTATTCGTTTAAGACTATATATTTGGGGATATATGAAAAATACTTCATATTTTCTAACCATGGGACAACATTTTACGTACGCATGAGGTCTTCCGTGTGTCCGAAGGCAGCGGATCCTGGTTGTAGACATGTGTCACGTAATGTGATCCAGAAAGCATGCTCATCAGGGTTTATAATCGACAACTCAAAGAAGGCTAATGCATTCAATCCTCGTTTCACTTCTATTCGCTTCAGCTCCTCTATAACACATTGAATAATTTTCTCTTATACTTGGATTAAAGAATGTATTTTTTAAGTTTGCTGTACTGTGAATTAATTCTTTATCATTATAAAAAAGAGATTGGTGCTGAAAACTGACAACAAAAAGAATAGTGCATTGCAATCAAACAAAAATAAGGCTATTGAAATTTTAAAAATGTCAATATTAAAAGGAATTCAAAGTTTAAAAAATTTCAATGCAATGGTGATTGATGAAAACGCTGTACAAATATCAAATCTTTTAAGAATCGTCCGGAGTTCCTGTATCATAATCAACTTACCTGTGGTCGGATTACCTGTATCATAATCAACTTACCTGTGGTCGGATTACCTGTATCATAATCAACTTACCTGTGGTCGGATTACCTGTATCATAATCAACTTACCTGTGGTCGGATTACCTGTATCATAATCAACTTACCTGTGGTCGGATTTCCTGTATCATAATCAATTTACCTGTGGTCGGATTTCCTGTATCATAATCAACTTACCTGTGGTCGGATTTCCTGTATCATAATCAACTTACCTGTGGTCGGATTACCTGTATCATAATCAACTTACCTGTGGTCGGATTTCGAAGTTGTTTGATTGCCATCAAAAGTCGTGCAATATGACCTAATAAACAAAGTATAGCGTATTTCAATTAATTAATGAAGTATAAACCACAGTAAGATAGAAACAATAAAAAGACTGAAGGTAATTCAATAAAAAATGGAGAAACATATTACATAAAATTAGTAATTTATAACAAAAAATCAACCAAATACATTTTTGAGCACTTGCTGTAAACAACAAGCATGGTAAATTGATCAATGAAATAATAGTAAATTTATATAGACAATGCGTATTGTGTTAAAGTAAATCTCTCTATATGTTCGGTGTTATTTTTTCTCTGGCCTCCTGCATTTCCTTTAGACTTCCAATATAACAGATGAGTCAAATATTCACGACTCGAGTAAATTAAAACTTTATATTAGATAATGATTTTAAGCGTGAATCCAGCAAAGAATAGATTCCAATTAAGGTGTTACAATCTGTATTAACGCCGGCTACATGACTATTTAACGCACCTGCTTTAGTTATCTTTAACTCCGTTTCGATTTCTTTCCTTGAGAAGGATTTCAATACTTCCAAATCTTTTGCAGTGATGATTTTGTTGTTTTCGAACCTATCAAAGTACTGCTCAAGGCCAATATCATGAAGCCAGTCTTTCACGTTGTTCTAGAATTAAAGAAATATCGATTGAAGCATTCAATTTTCAGTTAAAATAATCATTAGGACAATTTTCATGTAGACCTATATCAAAAATAACGACATGTTAATACTATACAAAAATTGTAGACAACATGTAAACTAGGCTCTGAGGGAAAATGTACTTAAGATAGTTATTGAGCATTACATTTTACGACAGACATGTATTTACATCCAATCTAATGTAGCATTATATTGAACATAATACATATATTTATAGTAGAATAATTGCAAAAACATTATTATATAATGCAAGATAATAAAATTAGAAATTATGAGAAACAGTGAGAGGTGATCTGCAATGACCAATTTTCCTAAATGTATACAATAATGGTGCAAATTTCATTTTTTCGCATGAAATATTTACCGGAACTTTGACCTCAATACGGAAGTCTGGGAGATCGCGTATTATCTCGAGTAAAAACGTGACGTGAGCTTTTTTTCGGATTCCGATGTTTTTCAAATCTTTCTCATTCATCCCACTGATATACAGAGTATTGTCGAATCCGTGCTTTTTGAAAAGAGGTCCATATTCATCCTGTTAGAAAATAAAATGGCAAACATCAATATCAAACAGATACATGTTCAATATTTTTTTTCATTGTTTACTTATAGTGATCACGGGACATTACAAATGACACCTTTGTAGCATGATGATCATTTGTCATGTTCAAGATATTCTCCCTATGTGTTAAGTAACACTATAACTATATAGTACTGAAAGGTCAATACCATAAGTCATTAAGTACACGAAGATAATTAAACTGATATAGAATTAGGACTACCTTGAAGTCAGTGTCAAGCCATTGATCCACCGTCATGGGAATAGGTTCCGGTAGAAGATGTGGGGCTTGTTCCTTAGCAACACGGTCCGTGATATTTACGATTTTCTTTGCTGTTAGAAATTAATGTTGGTTAGTGTAGATCACATCTTACGGTTTGTCGTTTCTCTGTATATATGACAATCTAGCTTTTGATAGAATGAAATGTCCATAATTTACAGTTATATTCATCAATGGAATCCTGATATCAGATAAACTTTGTTTTGCACAAATGACACTTTATCATTGTACATTGTGCGAACTATGAGTGGACCTACCATAAAATGAGAAACAAAATTTGACCGTAATTAAAAACAAACAAACGAGAAATACCTACAATTTTTATCGTCCTTGGATTCGGCAATAACTAATTCCCTGAAATTGGAGTTGATTTTGTCGCTGGCTTCGGATAAAGAATTTTCCCGATGCCGATTTGTAGTCGATGTATTAGAGTCATGAGGATGAGATGCCTCCTTCTTGCAACAACTGTAAATGACAACAACATGTACTAAATTAAAAGTCATTCTTTCAATGAAACTTCTTAGTTGAATTTTGTTGTATAAATATGAGTGACAATGACACTGAAATCTAAATTACAAGTTTTCTGAGGAAATATTAGTGACAAAAACTGTTATAAACCGTTTTGAAGTGAAGATCTTTTTTCCTTTTATGTTTCAATTAGGTATCAATGTAAGCTGGTTGTTATAATCCTAAAATTTTCATTTCTAAGTTGAATAACTTATTGTTTAACAAATGTAGAAGCAGAACTACATGTTGAGCAATTATATGGCATGAAAGTTATTAATCAATATATTCTTTAATATTTTTAAAAAGTTTACTTACAAAAATATGGTTTTCATTTTCTCTCCGAATATTTCATACCATGTTCTGACGTCACCGAAGGAAATTGGCTCCTTTTCCTCCCGTGTTCCTGTTTTAGTATACAATTTGTTGGATCACAAATTCATATCGTTATCGGGACTTTTCTTGTAAACCATATTCGTTAAAAGAAAAAGTTGGTACCTGAATGGTGTATAGTTTTGGAGAAAAACAACTAAACAACTTTGTCATTACTGGTATTACCGACTTTCAATTGATATACAATGTTCTTTTATCAATGCATTTTTCTTTCTTTCTTTCCTATTTTTAACGATTTTTAAAAATCAGAATTCGGAAGTAGAAAAATGATAATAATAGTATCTTCTCTCTGAGGGTATTGTGCCATTATCGCTACTAAATTTTAATTGCATTTAGTATATCTTCATCGGTTCTTATTAACTGATATTCGGAGTGTTTTGTATATACTAAATAAAAACATTTACGTTCACTAAAATCCATAGCATCTGCCAAATAAGTGATCCCTTATGACCCGTTTGTGCTGTATGTACTTATGATAATCATAATGACGTAACATTCAATCACATCGTGCTGTATACACATTTTGATGACGTAATCGACGACCATCATTCACTAAAACACTTCCAAACCAAATTGATTACGCACCCCACGACAATATGTTGCTGTATGCAATATCAAGATGTTAATAACATACATCACGACAATGATTTGCTTAAAATGCTATAATGTGACGTACCCCAAGATCTGTCTGTGATATTGCACACACTGTAGATGTTGAGGATGAGGTATCCGGACGGAAGACACATGAGGTACCAAAAGCCGTGAAGGAGACACAGGAAGTCTCGTGGATGGAGGAGTCCTGCCAGTATGAAGAATGCGATCAAGATGCCTAGATAAAGACTGGTCATGGATATCTGTATGTCGGCACTGATATCTGGTCAGGAAAAAAGGAAAACTGACTTTAGAGATTATAGAGGTCGTTAGATAAAATGAAAGGCAATTATTGATTATTGTTTATAAAAACGAGTGATATATACACGTTTTTTCGATAATCTAATAATATAAAGGTGACAATGTGTTTTGTGATTCCAACTGACAGGCAAAATCGAAATATCCATCACACATTATCAACATGACTACCAGAACAGAATAGAACAAAGCTGAATAAATATCAGATCACTGAATCTGCTTTCAAATGCACGATAATCAGCCCGTTTTAACATACGTAAACACATAAAGTTCTAGATGATACTGGAGGATATTTGGTACCTGACGCATCAATCTTCCCGCCATGTAAATGATTTTCTAGATCCTTCACCACTTGTTGGGCCGTACCAACAGCAACTGCCATCATAACGCATGCGTACAGAAACGTGAGGAACTTTGCTATCTGAATATGTAGAGGTATTGGCATTTTATAATGAATAATCATAGGCAAGATGAAATAAAATGAGAGTTAACACAGTCGATACTAATTCTGTTTAGTATGTTGACATATTCCTCGGTTAATATTTAATGAGTATTTGTTTCAGTGATTGGACATTCACGTGATATAATCATGGTAGGCCAAGTTATTTTGTTTCAAAAACGTGACTTTTACTTCATCATGATTTCATTTTGCTATACTATTACTTTCCTGGAGTTTTGGAAACTTTCACGTATCTAGCTTTGATCATCAACAATTTGAACATAGGATAATACATGTATCAAACTGATGACATCTTATCTGCATTTCTTGATTTTTGGTGACATACCTGTAGTTGAGTGTTATTGGAAAAGAATAGACAGAACATCGCAAACATCACGCATATCAGACACTGCAGGACGACGGTATACATCCCATCTAGGTTCCAGGCGTACAACAAACCACCTAGACAGACGTATATTAAAATATCAAATTTTTCGAAGAATACATCTCTTTTAAGGTAACTGCTATTTATCAGTGCAACTATGTTCCATATTCATGCAATGTATACTGATCTACCTGCAGATATGAAAACAATATCGACAAAATACGTCAAATATAGAACTACGGTATAATCTCATTGGAATTTTCATTCGCTGTACTGCCAAACTCTCATATTGCCATTTACTTTGCTGTTTTGACATCAGTTGTGTGAGTGTATATAGGATTAATCGAATGAGATACACTTACCAGTAGATTATTAAGACTAGTTTTACGTTTACAGTATAAAAATTACCTGATACAATCAGTACGATGACACTGGGGCTGATCAGGGTGGACAACAGAAGAAGGGCCTGGTAAATCAGGAATGGTAATGATACGCGATAATTAAACATACTAATCTTCTTCCACTCCTGAACCAGAAGCATAATGTTAGCAATAGTTGAGGCGATCCACCTCCTCCTCTGTTTGTAGAATTCTTCAAACTCCTCAGGACAATGTGTCCAGTTCTCCGCTGTAGCACAATACTCAATCCTCCATCCACTTTGGACCTAAATAGAAAAAAAGAAGCAGTAGATACACATATGTAACAATCTGACACACGGGAGGCTATTTTCTCATTATTATTCAATGTCATTTGTAATTGTAAAGGCCAAATTTGTTAATAAGTGATCAGTGCGTTGAAGGAAAAATAAGATCAAGATTTAACCGTTGGTAAATTACGTCAAGCCCCCGCTGAGGCTGGTAAGAAAAACTCTATACTTGTTTACGGTGCAATTATATCGCGGTTGTCTCACAACATGGGTAGTTCACGGGAATTAAATTTCGGGCATGTATACATGCTTATAACATAGATATTTTAATTTTTTGATTCTTTAATAAATGTTCCCTGGACATTTATTCTTGCACTACATCTTCATTAACCGCAAATGGAGCGAAATCACACATCGCGACTTTTAACAACTACACAATAATCAATGGTGAGAGAAGTTTTCAAATTGAATTTTGTGAATTCTTGAGCAAATTATCTTGATATATCAAAACATTAATATTTCCAATGGACTTTTTCGATAACTACTATTTCTAACGAACCATGAACTAATACGCTTTTGCTCTTCTTTGAAAAAAAAACACATTTGAAAAAAAAAATATAGAAAGAATGCTACACCTCAATAGATTTTGTGGTTTAACTTACTAGCATGATATTTTATAAACATATTTAAGAAAATGTTGAACTTGTTTCTTCTAAGGTCCCGTAAACAATGAAGACCCATCCTATTATGTCATGTTGCTTATGATATTTTTATTTGATAACTTGACATCGTGCGCTCTGCATACAACATCGATGTACAGAAAACATATTTAGAATGTACCGTGAATTTGTAGATTGGTTTTGTTACCATTATACACATTCTCAGAATCAAGAAATTGAATCATTTATCTACAAACAACACTATACCTAAGAAACTAAAATTAGACTTCAGTGAATCATCAAGACTATGTTAAATAACTGACATAGTAATTACTTCTGACGACATGATCTCAAAACTGAAGTGTGATAATAGATACGGTTATACTTAAATACAGGTAATAGATTTAATACATGTTTTACTATCTTTATATATGATATACAGATGTTTTCTATAAAAGTGTGTTTGTTGAAGTACTTACCAAGAGGGTACAGAACCACCTGTCTTCCCCCATGTCTTTGGTGAGAAACTCAAAGGCCTTTTCCACTTCTGAAGCGTACGTAGTTACAATGTCCCTTATTGACCTGACTCTATAGACACTGAAACAGCCCGGCGCACACAAAACTGTGCCTAATACATGCTCAGCTGCCTGTAGACAACACATGGGTTTTCAGTTGTTACCATCGAAATATACAGATAGGTAATAAAGACAAGGATTGAAAAATCGTGATTACATTTTTAGTTTTGTAGAATGAGAATGAGTAGCATCGGAAACATAGGAAAACAGATATGTTATTAATTTGACCTTTAGTATTGGTGTCAATTTTTTTGTTCAATAAGTTATCCATATATTTAACACAAATTACACAAATCAACATTTGTTATATTTACTTGCATTGGTGAGATATAGGTTATGTGGAAGTGAATTCATTCAACAGGTATCACTGAACTATTCCTCTACGCCTTTTGACCAATTAAGATGAACCGAGGTTGAGATGCACCGCTTCCGCTCGAGTCGCTGTATGTTGGTATATGCTCTGTGTACAGACCTCTAATTGGCGAAGTTAACTTAAGCACTAACAGTTAAAGAAACGACTCACCTTCTGAAACCAATGTCCAATTGCGTATTCAAATTTCTGGTACCAGACCAATGGACCGAAACCAACTGGATGAGTGCGCGCGCATACGGCGCCGACTGTGTTGTCACATATCATAAGATCCAACAGAGCGTCAACAGAGTTAGGCGAGAAATCAACATCAGCGTCCGTGGTCAGTATGAAAGCGTTATAATCGTCAACTGTAAATATGAAAATAATAAAAATAATCATTTGATCGTAATTACAAAAAAAAAAAAAAAAAAAACAAACAAACAAACAAACAAACAAACAATACCAACTTGTCAAAATAATCATGATCCATACTCAAATGCATAAAACTATCGCAAAATAGGATTAAACGAAAATTTACGAGGAGGTTCATGAAAAAAATACAAAGACAATAAGATCACGTGTTTTGACGACATCCGCCATGTAACTCTCGGACAATCCAAGTCAGTAATGTTACATTTTCAAAGGAGAACAAGGTATATAACGATGAAACCAACTGGCAAACTAACGAGCATCGAGCAGATCCAGCTTCCTATCACACACAGATATAAATTATTTCTCATTAAATCACTATGACGACCGTTAAACTTCCCTATAATTTGTATCACCCTGCACTTTTTGAAACTCTGTGTTCCAAGTTTGTCCGTCAGGCATATTGTGAATCAGTTGAATTCTTTCTTATGAAGTCATACGACATGGAACAATAAACGTAACATCTGTTGAAAATCTCTTTAAAAATGAATAAATTTTAGGTATGTAAAGGACAAAATCTGACCAAGTAAGTACTACAATTTGACAATTATGTATATTTTTCGAACGTATGTTCTTAAAGTGTCATTGCATTTTTATATATTTACCTTCATTGTTTCCGGAAGAATCATTGTTGTGCTTGACAAGGAAATCTAGTACATATGACATATACATGATCTGGCTCCATCTTTTTTTGTTTTTTACCTAAATAAATATTTAAAAAAAAACATTCTCAAGATCAGAATGTAAATGATAGAGACGGTACCATGCATCCATGAGAATCTATAACGTTGGTATTTAATAGATTTAAGTCAGGCTGACACATAGATTCAGTCAAAAAGATTTATCTGTACGTTAGATATTTCTTTTGTAACTGGACATACGCATAGAGGATAGGCATCTGGTTGACATCCATTTGATCAGTTGGTGAAAAATAGTTGCTACAACATATCCAAGATTCATTCTGTAGTATTAAGATATCTCTTGGATCTCGTTTTGATCGATTCCATGGGGTTGTGAAATAAATTACCACAATGTCACATTATGATTTATTGAATAATCATCATGTCTGTTGGTAATCTTAATCAATGTATATTCTGCAAATCTTGAGTATTTTTAATAACTTTTATTTAAAGTTCAACATCAAATATTTGTAAGGGTATTCTCCCCGTACAGAATCTGTACCTAACATATTCATACACTCAGATCAAAGTTAATCTAGTCAAATTCATGAACAAATGAAACAGGCTAAATTTGGTAGTTTCATATAGTTCAGCTTGTGTAGAAAGCAAAATACTTGTGATTAATATATCTTCATTCGATTAGTGTAAATATGTAAATTGTTTGTTTGTTGGCTGGGTCTATCGCCCCGTGTACAGCTAGGATCATATGAATAGTTGGGTATAAATGTGGCCTGGATGAAAAACTTCGGTAAACATAATGATTGTTAGCAATTGTCATCTTATAGTCAATGTATCGGGAAAAAACTAAATTCTCACCTTTCTATTGTCTTTAAGATGAATTGCAAATTTCATTTTGCGCGAGTTAAGTAAATCAGTATGTAAACCTGGCTCTCCTGTTGAAAGTTCCCATGTCAGTTTCATCCCGTACGGAGTCATAAATCTGTTACAACACGACGTATCACACCCTACAAATCGTATGTTATAGAATAAGGATCGAAAATAGTAAAATAAATGGACATTTCAAAAATAATAGACAGAAATATTTTCCGATTCAGTTCATTTCACCAATATTGTTGTCTGAATAGTCATATTTTCCTTGTCTCACCAATTTTTAAAATATGAATGTGTTACGCATGTCGTTATTTTCTTATTGAAGCAAATACCTATTTGGTATTACAGTATCTAATGCCATTTCAGCATTGAAAGATGCTTTTCACTTGTATGTCTCCTGTTCAATCCTAATATTTCATTGTAGACATCAATATTAAGGCGATTTCATTCTCTATGAGTTACCTAGAGTATCTGGTAGTAGACTGATGAGCTGCAGAGCGAAGTCAGTTGGTGTTTTATCCTTTACGCCTCCGTCAAAGAAAATATGTGACTCATAATACTTGTCAGAGTAGGATTTCTGTATCCGATGAATGGATTTTAGCAATTGCTTCATTTCATTCCTTGTCTGTCAAAACAGGGCAGGCTCATATGTTAACGTTATATGTCCAAATATGACAATTATTTATCAATAAACATGATTGGAGGTTTATTGCATGTGTGATAACGTCTTATTAATTTATATATTTTGTTCTTAGAAATATGTCTTTTTATATCTAATACAATCCCTTTCTCCTGCTCAATTCAATTTTCTGTTTCCAATGTAAAACACTATTTTGTTGAATCTTATTGCGAAGGTAAACTATAATGTTGCCTATTGTTTTCTATTTCGTTGTTCGTAAGCGTGGGTTGAGTGTTACGAATACGTTCAAATTCATATTCTATTCAAATATATATTTTTTCAATTACTAGTTCAAAGATATCAGGATCTTGTTCATGGAAATTCAACTGTCTTAGGAAAGAACGTTTTGTCTCAGTAACTTAAAATATACAACCATTATACTGTAGATGATAGAAAGTTTTTCATTTTTGTTGTATTCTTTTCCTTCACGTCTTGTACAAATTGATATTCCTACGTCAGATGACCTTACCTCCCTGTACATCGTTGTACATATGTAAACTTTTATTTTCTTTGCGACACACTTTGGCGTCTCTCGCCGCTCTGTTAGCCGATTACGTCTTGACACCAAAAGCCATTCCATTAGCAAAATACCAGAAAATGTAGGAAGCCAGAAAATCTGTCAAGTGCCATAAAATTTTATTTGAATATTTAAAGGAGAATAACACCAACGAATTCATGAATTTGACGTGCTAATCATTCTAAAACTTTCTCTTGTCGTTTAGACTGTTTTAATAATCATTTAAATATATTGTTTAGCAGCATTTAAAAACAAGCTCCTTCTATAGACCGTCATTTACCTGTATATAATGCTTTATTGAATTGTTTTGGTATTATCAATAAGACTTGGGAACAAAATGATATACACTAAGTAGATAGAGAAGACAAAGTAGATAAGAAACGAAAGACAATGAAAACATAATGCTATATAAAACATTCATTGAGCAATTGACAAAACACCAACATCAATCTCTTCATTATAATCTACACATATCAATCGTATATTAGCAACAAAACAAATTAACTCTGTTCGATTGGCGATGGTAATGGGAAAAGATACACTCAACTCAAAAAAGGATTGCCATTAGCGAAAAGATATTTAGCCCATTTATCGGACGTAACCATAGCAACATGCTTAATCTATTTAATTTTCAAATTCTTAAGATATTGAGATACTGAAAAGACATTCAATCATCGCCACTAAAATACGAAACATCCATAATGCTGTTGTTACCGAGCATCAGCAATTAAATAAGATATTTCAATAATACTAGTGCGAAACCAAAATCAGACATTTCCATCTCGCTGTTGTGAGCCATTGCAATAATGCTATTGTAACCGAGCACCACCAATAACATAAGATCTTTTCACATTGCTAGTGCAACTTATCATCGATACTTAAATAAATCTATATCGCTATTTTAACTGGACATCACCAATAAAATAAGACATTTCCATAATCCTGTCGTAAACGAGTTTCACTAATCAAATAAGACATTTTCAAACTTGTAAAGTAACTTATCATCGAAACTTAACTAAGACATGTCCAAATCGTTATTGTAAGCGAGCATAACCAATATAATAAGACATTTACATATTGCTAGTACAACTATTTAACGACATTAAAATAAGGGATATCCAGATCGCTATTGTAACTGAGCATCACTTCACTAATGAAATAAAACATTTCCATAATGCTATTATAACCGAGCATCATCACTAAAATAAGACAAATCATCGACACCATAATAATTCATTTCAATAATATCAGTGTTTCTAAGAATAATTTATTCTTACCTCTGCTTCAGTACACAAGACGATGGTATTCGTGGTCCAAATTATCCATCCCAGTGAAATACACAAAGCTAGAAAGACACAGATAATTGCTGGGATGTTGAACATTAGCTTCTCGTGTTGACACATATGTAAGTTATCTGGATGAAGTAGGCTTGTTATTTCCTTACATGCAGTCTCAATAGACAAAATTGAGAAAATGACCGGAGTGGCTAAGACAAGAGGCAGGACAAAAGCTCCTCTCTGCATGGTGATGCGACATGCTATTGAGGAGATGAAGTATCCGCCAAACGTACAAAATAGATTAGTAAGAAGCATTTTGGGTTCAATGTGTTCAAAGTGCCAGTCTAATGAATCACGAAAGGATTCGATGGCATCCTCGTTTTTGTATTTGTCACTGTCGACGAAATGCAACAGCAAGGAAAATGCAACTATACAAGGCAAACGGCATGCTGATAGGATGATAGCGGATTTCCAAGAACATTGTGGTCGCCTAGTTACCAGGATGTCCCCTTTCTCTGTTATATCATGGAGTGGTGAATTTTGATCATCATCAGGTTTTTTGTTACCCTCATTTAAATTGATCAAACGTTTCTGTACTAAAGGTGACCATACAATGGTTAGGCAGATCACTGCAGCCGGGATAAGCCATAGATCTTTGAGGTTTCTGAGCATAAAACTGAAACCACCAATACATGAAAGAAGTGAAGCTAGCACCAAGAAGAAAATTGCAATTAAGCAAGCTAATTTTACAGAGCGAGGGTTGTCAGATTGTTCACGGGATCTAAGAATATAAGTTATTGGGAAAATGAAGAAGAGTGCTGTTGATAAAAGAAGGCCGTTGACGCCAAACAAATGTAAAGACAGGATCTTGAACGCAAAGACACATAATCCAAACGACTCCAAAACAGATGTCAAAAAAATCTGAAAAATATAAGAATATTCAATTGAATGAGAAATATATTATCCATATACTGAAATAATTAAATTTGATAATGAAAATAATTGAATTGTAAAAAAAAATGTTAAGTGTTTTGTACCTTTAAATGATTCCGGCTTTCCAATATTTTCCTTGAATTTGGTCAACTGTTTCATTGATGTAAAGCGCGTAATTATCTCTCATGTAATAATTCTGCAGTTTTGTTTTAAATATAACTTTAATTGGCCAACAGTTGTTTAATACATACTAAAAATGAAGCTACAATAACCTTAATTCATTGTTGACATTTGCTAATCAAGTTAAGTTCATGGGGACGTTTATAAATAATGTACGTACCCAGTTGATAGCTCGTTTGTTTGGCCATGGCATGTCATGTCGGCGCAAACCATTCCACAATGACCGAAGAAGGTTGAATACATTTGGAACAAAGAGAATAAGAAGTATCGTTGAAAAAGCTGAACACGATTCTTTGTTATCTGCCCCAGGTAGTCTTGCGGCAATCTCAATGAAAGAAAGGCTGCTTCCAACAATACAGCCAAGTCCGATCAGAGCAAAGATCAAGGTAACCACCCATTTAAAAATAACCACAACTTTAGAAGGTGACAAATCTAGGATTTCTTTTTTGCTCATTTCTCTCTCGACTTTGGACTGTTCATCCATGGTTAGTTGGAATGAGACGTCCTGAGATTGGTTGGATATAACGGACATCCGGGGAGAATTAGACACTTCTTCTTTTGGTGAGGCGATATTAACCATTGTAAACGAGCTTGACACGTCATGCTGAGAGGAGTTTCTTGTCAATGTTGTCTGTTCGACTGCTATTTCTGGATTGCAGTTCATTGTTAAGTGATGCTGATCCTCTTTAGTCATTGATAACTGATATATATTCCTCACTACAAGTCAAACGTAAAGAACTATCGTAAAGCGATATATGTAATAATGATACAGTTTTGCCTTTGTTTTAAAAGTTTGATTGAAAAAGTGTTGAATTTTGTAATAAAAAAATAACGGAAAGTGATTTAATGCTCGAGTTCAAATTCATTTGCCAGTTTTTGTGGCTACAGACAGAACAAGTGCTTTAGTTTTTGTTCGGTTGCTAAAACTGATCCGGAAAATATGAGCACGTAATGCATGTGTACGCTTTTGTCGAATTTTCTTTCGATATCGTTGTAACTTCAATAGTTCTACATCAAATAAGGTACATATTACATCCAAAGAGACACATGATAACTACTTATAACGTTGCTTATAAGTAAAAAAACTCAATACAGATTTATTTTCTTCACAGCAGATTTAATTTTATGATTTTCTTACATAACTAAGATTTAATTATGTATTGATAGTTTTGATTTCATTATAAGTAAACTCTGCGTGTGACAGCAAGTTAATATTCCTGTAACCTCAGGCTATCTGAGTATCTGTCCAGTTTTATAATGTACAGTAATGTTGTGAAATGTTTGTTGGAACGTGCTATCGGGAATTATTATCTACAAAATTTAATTGAATGAGCTCTGCACCGTCCAGGCAATATTGATATGAATACACGTTTATATACAGGATTGGAGATGGAATACTGTATCGTATCGAAACCTCTCACTTATTTTCATATGAATTGAAATTGTGTAATGTCTCGCTATAGAATTGCTTTGAGCGATAACAGTCGGTAATATTATACAACGTAACTATCGTACCATCATTCTTTACTAGGGAAGAACATGTTATTCAACGTTACCAATACATAACAATATAATAATTCTACAGGAAAAGCAATTTATTCGTGAATCATATTTGAAAACACCATCAAATAAAATTCTAGTCAATAATCTTTTGAGTTTATGTCATTTTAATTTTCAAATTTTCATTTTTTCTCATTTAATTCTAAAATTGGCGTAATGTATCAGTTTACTTTGTAAAAGTAATATTGTTCATGCGATTAAATGAAACTAAACAGAAGAAAATATTTCCTTAAGGTTATCAAATGAATATATAGCAAATTACGTTTTCTCCCTGATATGGAAACTTGATAAGTACGCGAGAACAAGGCGAAATAACAATAATATGTGTAATTTTAATGGAGAGGAAAAAAAATTACCGATACGATTACGATACATTGCTTTGAATGGTAGAACGTTAAATAATTTGAAATAAGTGAACAACATGTATAGTGTCAGAGTTGACAATGACAATGCACTAAATGAATCAAGATATGAAAATAATTATAACTTCCCTATGTGACACCGATCCTAAAATCTCTGATCATAGCCAGGAGTTTTCAATACGTAGGAGTTTCCATAATGTAAATAAAATGTGTATTTTCTGTAAATCTCTTAATTAGAAGCATATCATAATCGGCAATAACATTTTGTTTATGAAGTTTAGGTATTCGATTAAAACCGGGAAGTTTCTAATCAGTACCATGTATTCGTAATCCGACATGTTACAATGTTGAAGTATGACTAACTAATTTTTCTGGAAAGGTTAGATAATGAGTAAGTAGGATTTCCTTTGGTTATCACTCAAGTATATAGTGTATGCAGAAAAGAATAAAGTAATCTTTCATGTAATTATTAGTTCACTAAAATAATTATGTTTCATATTTATTTTATACATCTTCCCATTCATCATTTACATATTTTGCAGTATACGTATACCTAATTTTAAACCTAATTTATCTTGATTAATTCAAATGTAATCCTTATAGCAAGTTTATGTGTGGAAGAATTCTGTTTTGAATAAAATTTTTATTCACCAATAAAAGTATTTTTATCTTAGTGATATACTCTTTTATTTCATAGTCACATTGTATTAAATGCCATCGTTATACAATGACAACCAAGTCAAAGTTGAGATATAATTGCATATCTCAATTCGAAAAAAACGTTTTAAAATTCATGTTTTCGCTATAAAAATTCAAAAGAGAACATTGTTTACAGTTCATTAGTTCTCTTTTGGGTTTCAAGTTTGTATTGGATAGAATTTTCCAAAGTAAAAAATTGAAAAATAATAAAAGCAAAACAGAATTATTCCTATTGAAAATTACTTACAATTCTGCGACGTTCAATTGTAGTTCTGAGTTGAGTCAGGAGAAACAATGACTTTATCCTAAATCCATCTGATTACTTTTCCTTAGATAGTACACGCAAATACAAATCTTGCGTTAGATAAATAAGACACAAACTTGATTAAACTTTATCATAACGCTGTTTTATCACTTTAGGTCTAAATTTTGAAGCATAGGAGACTTCATCGAAATATGATTTCAAAAGCCAAAGAAGTTTTATTGGAAGGATAACAATATTGATTCATCAATAGATAAAGAGTTTTCGATAAAAAGTACTATTTTTCTGGTTGATCAGTTTGATGTTTTTTTAATAATACAAAGATAACAAAGACATGCTGAAATAAAACAGAAATTTTCATATGTAAAGATTACCATTTAATGATTATGACATCGGAAACATTCGAAATTTTAATTTATTCTTAAAAGTTACTTTATCTAAAGACATGATATTTCGACGGAAATTGAAATCACAATCACTACTTACAAATTTGATGAATAATTAATTATATCATTTAGAAAAAAATTCTCACCTTTAGAGGTATCAGTATCAACAGGGCAGGGATCTTTCTAGCACGAACTTGGCTTGACAGCGAGGCCGTTCTGGTTCAACAAGCATATATAGGTCGTTGGAAAGTCACGTGATCAAATGTCAATTGAATTGTGTCGTGTGATGACCATGAGGTCACTACATGCGATATAATCTGACATTACATCTTTATTGTTTTTATGTCTAAAGATTTTCTTCGAAGGGCATTCAGGTCGTGTACATATTGCATAGATAATTGTCTTTGACATGAAGTCATTTGCATGAATTATAAACCACTCCTATGTTCTGTTAGACGTTAGTTTGAGTACAAATTGTACAATTCATCTGGTAAGATTAATCAATTTTTTCGTTCTCTTCAAAAAAGTACATGCATTCCTATCAATATTTCTGTAGGAATTTGTGAAAAATTCAGTTAATCAACTCAGCACATTAAAGACATCCTGTTTTATCTGCAAAATTCTGGCGGGATTTGTTGTTCAATAATAAGTTAGACTTCACAGTATAGAGCCAAATAAATACTATAATTCTTCTATATATCATTTTACGATATTGAATAGATTAGTCTATTTTCTCTGTAAATACATCCATACATCCATTCATACTTACATATATATATATACATACATACATACATACATACATACATACATACATACATACATACATACCATTTTTTTCTTGAGAAACTGACCTTTGAACTATTAAGGTAGGTTAATATACTCTTATTGCATGGTCAAACGCTCTGATTCCTAAATGGAAATCGTCTCGCATACGATAACAAATAGGTCTTCAATACAAAACTGCTACGGGCATGGTCGGTAGATCCATTATACACATTGACATAATTGAATTATTCATCACAACAGTTATATTTCCTATAGAAAGGTATATTTAGAAAATCAAATGCATGATTAATGAAGCACTTTACAAAGAGAAATTATTTCAAAATGATGTATTTCTCGATTCAAATGTGTATAAATCAATGGAAATCCAGAAATGTGCTACTATGTGCTACCATGATAAGATCATTTACGATGATTCGCGAAAACGTTAATTTACTTTTAGAGTAGGATGCTATTTTCTTAGTTTTTTTTTTTTTTTTTTTTATCAGCTGACACATTACACAATTTTCTGTTTTTGGAATAAATTTTCTGTTTGACCGTGTCGAAAATCGTTATCTCGAAATTCATGTGACCGTGGAAATTTGTTTTGACTTATCCGAATTTCGACTCAAATAAAGTGTCCAGATAAGGTACAAACAGCGTAACTTAATTTGTTATTTGAAATCGCAGTAGATAAACAGAAGCAAATTTCTACTTTCTCCTTTTATTGTGTATAACCATAAAAAGACCAAAAATCTCGAGTTACCTATAGCTATCATATAAGTAACTGTGCAATAAGTGAATCACTTATAAGGCAGCCCTAGGTAACATTTACAACAGTTACATACTCGATTAGAACAATGGATGAAATCACAATCATGTTTAAGGTGAATATGTAAAATATGCTCAAAATTTAATTAATGGACCAGTAGAGTGTGGTGCATTTATAGAACGACTAATACAATGCAGGTATGTCAGCTGATTTAAAAAAAACAATTGTCATGGCCTTGATAGTCCGAAAGAATATTTAAAGTAAAAATTAAGAACTACAAACTACCTACAACTTCAGATAGTGATCCGACATTAAATCAATGATAATTTCTTCTACTAATAGGTTGTCTGCCCCTACACTAGTTTCAATTACGTTGAGTAAAAAGTGGCCTTTATACACAGTGAAACTCTCTAACACTATGATATAAATGATGGTAATTCTTGCCTTACATTTCAGTTAGATAATTATTCATCTGAATCTATATTCTACATTCTTATTCCTGGAATGCTTTCATTATTATTTAATATATTTAATTTTGATTGATGTGTTTGTGTACTTGTTTAAGTTGTACGGAGGGGGCTTTCATAGGCTCTGCCTGTTGCCCAATTACATTTGTCATCAACATAAAGACAATAAAATAATCTGAAATGAAAATACACAGTGAAACCTAGTATCATGGCTACACGGTTTCTATCCTTTTTAGACATGTCAATAAAAATATCAAACATATTTTATATCTTCACAGTAGATAAGTGTTCTTTTATAGCATGTTACCTTTCTAAGTTCAATTATATGAAATCGTGTACCTTGTGGGCCATCACGTGACGTTGTTATCGTAAGCGGTGGCTACATAACACAGAGAAAGAAATCGGATACTATCGAAGTGAT